AAAAATGTTTAAATCATGATTTAAATCACTACAGGGTGGATAAAAATCAATGATTTTAAAAATATATAATTTTAAAAAACCTGATTTAAAAAAAAATCTGTGATTTAAATTAATTTGATTGAAACGAAATTCACCCTGGAACCTGGTGCTTTCAGGAGATCAGATAATCCATTTGGAAGAACTCTGACCATAGTACCTAGAAACTTTAACAGGATGTGAAAAATATATCTAATCAGTGTAATGATCTGCACTTTCTAATGCAATGGCATTTTGCCCCCCCCCCACAAAAAGAGCATTATACAGCAACCAAATATATAGGGATGCATGTTTGTCTCCGTCCCATGCTTAAGCATCAGGAGTTGTACTTGTAGTCTTCCGTGACAAATTCCATTGACTAATATAAGTGATGTCTGCATGCATGTCTGGTCTCTCCCCTTCCCTGTCCTCTTTCAACTCAACAACTGGAGCTGACAGTTTTGTGGCTTGGCTAAGTGAGTAATGTTTCAAGAAACATGAAATTGAAAGGTCTTCTACTTACATGAGCAGAGAATGCTTGCAATAAAGTGGTTGTTGTGGGTTTTTACAATATTGTAAAATAATTTTTGTCCAAGCTGGAAACTTTCTGTAGTCTACCTGATCCAGATATTGGGAATTGTTTCTGGGTATCTGGGCTGTGATTAAAAGTGCAAATGCTGTAGGGAGGCATATTGCCAGCGTTAGCTCAGCTGTAAAACACAATGGTAAAGAGTTGATCATGAGTACGCATAAGACTGTCTCTTGCCCCAAACTGCTGTTGTTGCAAGAACTCTAGCCCAACCCATCTCCAGCCTCCCACATCAAACGGTGGCTACCTGCCCAGTGCTCTTACTATTCAGATTTTGACTATGACTACGTATGCTGCTCCTGTATCTGTAATTACTAGATCTTCTCCAAGAACAAGCTGGATTCAGCCCAGTGGAAGAAAACATGCTTTCTCAGCATACGTCATCTTCTGATCATTCCCAGCAGTATGGTTTTTTAGTGCAGGAAGCATCCCAGTAGTTGCATTATTTGGTATGGCATTCTTCCGAAGTATGGTGAGCAACAAGTGGTTGCAGGGAAGATATTGTGCAGTCTTGTTCTTTTTGTTAAGCTGCTTAGATATTAGTCAAAATGTGACAATTAAATCTGGAAAATATGATACTAACTAAGGTTCTGGTGGTTCAGGTCAGTTCTCTTCTTTCTTCCTGATATTATGGCTGTTCTTAATGTTTTGTTTATATTGTTATGTGCCATCAAGTTGCCTCTGACTCTGGCTACCCTATTAATGAATGGCCTCCACAATGTCTTTTCATTAACAGCTCTACTTAGCTCTTGCAAACTCAAGCCTGTTGCTTCCTTTTTGGTGTCAATCCACCTAATATTTATTCTTCTTTTCTTTCTGCTTCCTGTTTTTCCTAGTGTTATTGTCTTGTCATGATTTGCCCAAGTATGAAAAACTCAGTTTCATCATTTTTGCTTTTAAAGAGAGTTCAGATTTGATTTGATCTTGGACCCATTTGTTTGTCTTTCTAGCAGTCCAAAGTATTTGCAAAGCTCTCCTCCAGTACCATATTTAGAATGAATCATTTTTAAAATGCTAGCTTCCTTCACTTTCCAGTTTTCACGTTCCTCTGTAGCAATTGGATGATGATTTTGGCTTTGGTCTTCAATGACACGTCTTTTACACTTGATGTTCATGTCTAGTTGCTTTGTAGCTGCCCTCTCAAGTCTCAATTTTTTGTTCATGTCTAGTTGCTTTGTAGCTGCCCTTTCAAGTCTCAATTTTCTTGATTTCTTGGTTGCAGTCTCCATTTGGTTTCATGATTGAACCAAGGCATACACAGTCTTCAACTATGTTATTTTTCAGCATTGAAGTTATGAAGTTCTGCTGCAGTTACGATTTTTGTCTTAAAGTTCAATTGCAGTTGTTTATATTTGGCATAATATTTATGTACATTCCTGTGAATGATTTCCAGGAAAGCAGGCTATAAGTAAAACAAGAATATTTGAGTGCTTGAACAGGGTTCCTTTAGTGTGGCAGAAATGCAGAATATAACAAAAACATGATGATAAATAACAATATGGGTAGTAATGAAACTGATGTAGAAACAGCAGCAGTTGTCCATGACAGAGATTAGCCTTAGTCTTTGGTCTCTCCATTTCCTATCAGCAAGTGTTTTCAGTGCTGAATATTTGGCTGTACTAGTATTAATTTTCTCTAGCTATCTTGATTGCTAAATTAGGCATCATGATTGTGGCAAGACAAGAGGCAGTGCATTCCATTTATATGTTACAATGACCAGTGTGTATGACTTGGTCTGCATCTGAGAGCTGTTTGAAGATGTTTTATTGGCTTCACTAAATTTTACAGGTGGTCTCTCAGTTCCTGTTCAAGCATATAGGTCTTAGGTTATATTGTATATCAAAAGGAAATATAAAATCTTCTCCTGTTCTTCATCCGAATTGTTTGCTGTCCCTCTCCCAGAAACTCTCTTGCTTGTTGAACATTATTCAAGCACTTTTTTGCATGGTTCCTCCTAGGTCACTACAGAACCTCGTTAGGGTTTTTTCTAAACAGTTTTTCAGATTTCCGTTTCACCAAGGAACACACTACGACGTCTGCTACGAATGTTCTGTAGAATGAAAGGGACTTTGAAGACTGTTATAAGATGTCCAGTCAGTGCATGTTGGGTTCTACTGTACTACTCTTTGCAGGAAGCCGTTTTTTGTTTTAAAACATACTCAGTATTCTGCACTGGGTATGCAAGCTGAGGATAATCAGTAACAATGGACACACAGCTTTCAAGGAAGTTTGTCTGCCATATCTAGTTATCTCCTTTAGGGGAACTCCCTTAAGTTTCCTAGATCATAGTTCATAGACTCATAGTTCATTAGCCCATCCTCTTTGCATTATTCCAGTGGTTCCCAACCTTGGGTAACCCAAGTGTTCTTGGACTGCAGTTCCCGGAAACCCTGGGCAGCATAGCTGGTGGCAGAGGCTTCTGGAATTTCAGTCCAAGAACACTTGGGTTACCCAAGGTTGGGAACCACTGACTTACTCAAGATTCTGCCCGCTTGCAAAGAAAAAGTTGTATGGCCCAGATCCTCATGTGTATCTCTAGAAATAGTGAAATATTTGGAGACAAATTGTCCCAAGTTAAGAAATAATTATTTACACACTTAGTCACACAACTCAGTATTCAACTGATAATATCTACATTAGAGATGGGTACGAATTGCTGGTTCATTAATTTGGTGCAGTTCGCTTCCACTTCCACTCTAGTCACTTTAGTTGCCAGCGGTTTAGACATTAATGGCTGTGTGTTGCGTTATTTTGAGGAGACAGCTCATTTACACTGTTATACAAGCTGTATACTCACTGCTTTACATTGTAGCCAAGTGTAATTTCTTCAGTGTTGTCACACTGCTAGCTGTCAGTATTTATTTCCTTTAGGACTTCAGATTTGTAGTGTACTGTGCACTTATTGTCAGGAGTGGGGTATATAGTCCTCTGTTCCCCTCAAGGCAGAAATGTACCAGTGAGATTGGAGAAAGTAGATTGACATATGGTTTAAGGCAATCGCTGTTGCAGGTCAAGTATTCCTTGCTGCTGCAGCTAGTTCGTTACAAAGGGTGTGGTAGGGCTGATGAAGGATGGTTTCCCAAAATGAAAGGCTGCTCAAACAGTATTAACCTAGAAAGTATGCACAATTAAGTTTCTCTGAGAGGCATGAGGGATGGTAAGCAGAAAAGGCCTGAGGGAACAGAAGAGTATTTTTGGTCTGCTTGTGGAATGGTTTGGTTACTTTCAATTTCATCATTTCCTGAAAAACCTAATTCAGTTGGAAGCCCTCATTGTCTTGTGTGTCTGCTCAATTATGGCCAAAAAAGGCAATTAGTTAGGTTTTTGGAAGTTGCATTTGCAGGAAGCTGTGTAGCAGAGGCTTGAATGCAGTTGTTGCTTTGCCAGCCCTGATAGAATTATGAACACAGTGAAAAGAGATTCTCCTCTTCCTTTTCATTTTGCTTCTTGGTTGTTAAATGTTAACTTTCCAAACTACTTAGTTTCTCTGATTAGTATAGATACACGGTGTAGCCTCATCTACTATTTATTATCACAAAGCATGATGAATCTGGAAAGGAGCAGAAGGTACATCAGGATTGAGTGCTAGGTGTTCGCAGGAAGTCTGCAAGAGTTTAAACTTCAGTTCTTAAGCAATAGCAGTTATTGAAATAGTTTGTTTCTTCCTGATTTAGGCCTCTATAGTTAAGAATGTTTGAGCACTAAGACTAGAATGGGTTCTGGTGTTAAAAGTGTACGCTTGTTTTTGTTGCTGAAAACAATTCTTGTAGTGGACATGAACTTGGTTAGGGTACCCTGTTCCTTGATTCAAAAAGTGTTTGTGCCCCTGATGCACTATTTGGCACCTGATTCTAGTTGGCGGGCCTGATGATTCTGATAAAAATCATGCAAGGTTGAAGTTCTGCCCCATCACTGTTGTGATGTGCATCAACTTCACACACACCCCACGCCACAAGGCTGGATGCATGTTCACATGTCACAGCTGTACTGCTTTAGGTTTCCAACAAGCTTCTGCCCCAACCATTTGTCTGCTTGAGTAATTGTACACTTCTGTGTAATGATTCTATGGCTTATAAGCTTTATGGGGAATTAGATAGATGGTCTTGTGTTTCGAGCAATGGGGTTGATCTGAATTACCTTCCAAAATGCTAGGATGTTGTAAAACATTTAGGCATCAAGTGTTGTCATCTTAATTGCCTTTCCTTCCATGACATCTAGTACACTATGACATGGACATTCTTTGCATGGTTACATGATATTCAAATTGTAATAGACCAAAAATTTGAAAGAAAGGCGTTGGCAAGTAAACTAATCTTAATTATGCGTTAGAAGACTAGGAAGTCATAGTTTCAAGACATTGGCAACAATAATAATATCAAGCTTCTTCTTTCAACAGGTCCCGGGTTATAAACGACCATGGCTCAGAGAGACGCTGACAAATACCTCTATGTGGATAAAAATCTTATCAACAACCCTCTTGCTCAGGCTGACTGGGCAGCAAAGAAGTTGGTGTGGGTCCCATCAGAGAAGAATGGGTTTGAGCCTGCCAGCTTGAAGGAAGAAGTAGGAGATGAAGCTATTGTGGAGCTTGCAGAGAATGGGAAGAAAGTGAGAGTAAACAAAGATGATATTCAAAAGATGAACCCACCCAAGTTCTCTAAAGTGGAAGACATGGCAGAACTGACCTGTCTGAATGAAGCATCAGTGCTGCACAATCTAAAGGAACGATACTATTCAGGACTTATCTATGTAAGTGACTTTTCCCCCTACTTATATAGATCGTATCTAGATATAGAATTGTTCTCTTGTGTGTCCTCTAACTTATTCATCCACCTTGTTCTTTATTACGTTTGCTAGCTTTGTCCTAGGTGGAACCTTTGCAAAATCTAATGTAGCACTTGCATGACTTGCTATGTGTTTTGATGTCTCTCCAGGTAGGAAGATACACAAAAATGACAGATAAAATTTAGTTCAGACTAATATACACCTAAAGGTGACTCCCTGGTTGTTCCTTCTTTATAAGGAGCCCTAATAAAAGGAGATACTGATACCAAAGCTGGGAAAAGATCCTTTTTGCATAGTCAAATTCGTCTATATGGAAAGTGGTTGTGATATAAAATAACACTGCTCAGATCAGTTAGGTAGGCTCAAAACAGAACACAAAGAACTACATAACAACTCAGCCATTATTATTCCAGGTCTTGACACTTCAGGACCTGCAGCATGTCATACTGTAGAATAGATCCTGAGCAGGTGATTTGCTTTCTAGAGCTACGCTTATCGTTCAAAGTGGCAGTATGGCTCTCACAAGCTTATTGCTATGGAAACAAGGACATTTGATGGTTTATGTATGACTCAGCGTGAATAAAGTATTAAGAGCCCCTCTTGTGCTGCAAAAGAAAAAAGATAAAAAAAAGGGCTGGTCGGTCCTTGTACACAGTCTGAAGACAAGAGTAGGTGATGCCCTTAGTAAATGACTAAATAAAGCCTAGTCTTTTGTTTGAATTTCTAGTGGTCTAATAAAGATATCACCCACTCTCGTCTTTGCTCATGTATTGAACCATCACATCACAAAACAAAATGAAGATAAAATGAAATTGTAGCTAGGTGATTCCCGCCCCTCAGGACACTGTCTTTTTGTTTTGCTGCTCTATTTTTCTCCTGAATAGGAGACTGTACGCAAACCCCTCTGTTGAGCCATTGGAAGAATATGGCTTGCAGCAGCAGTGGTAAGGAGCGATTTCTTCGTGCTAATAGCAGTAATGGTGCTTGTAACTCAATAACATTTTCTGACATTAAAATTGAAATTGAAGGCCCTGTTCATCATCACCTCTGTGTGAGCTTAGGGCCTTCCTTGGTGGTGATGCCAAAGTTCTGGAGGTCTCCTTTTCTGTCTTAAAAAAAGATGTTTCACTTTTGAGAGGCCCTCAGTTTTTTACTTGTCAGTCTCGTGCTTTTAATGCTTTTTATATCTGCAGCTTTAGTTAGATTTTTATTGCAGTTTCGATGATCTCATTTTAATTTCACTGAGTGGTATGCTTGGTCTTTTGTAATTTTGTTGCCTTGATGCCCTGAAAAAGCAGTTACATTAATAACTGCTTGCTGTACAAATTAAAGGTATGCCAGCACCCTGGAGTTTATTGGGGAAAGTCTCTTATTTCCCTGGAGAGCATTTTCCCTGGTCCATCCAAGCTACTGCTTTTTTGTAATCCTGCTGTTATCCCATTGGGACATGGACAGATAAAGGCTGCCAATTTTCCATCCCCAGAACCCTCCGGGGACTGCTCTGCTCTCCAAAAATGATATGTATCATGAAGAAAACAACAGATAGACCAGGTCAAAATTTTACTTCTGGTTCCGAAAGAAGTGTGTTTTTTTTATCTCCAGAAAGGTGTTGGAATGTGTTTAAAGGAAGAATTGCCATTCCTGAAGGTTTTCAGAAATAGCAGTTTCCTGTTTTGTGTGGAATTATTTTTCTCTTGTGTGACACCTAGGAGTCCTGGGGGCTACATGTGGCCCCGGACCATGTGATCTCCACCTCTATTCAGGGGAATATCACATGAGCCACTTCATGAATTATTATTGGGAACAGATGTCACTTAAACAACTCATAGGTTGACAGTAAAATAGGCACATGAAGATTTCACAGTTTGGACTGATCATGTATCCTGTGGTTCTAAAGACTGTATAGACAATGAAAATTCATTCTGAAACTGTACTTACCTACATCTCCCTCTCCAAGACAGTGCAGTATGTGTTTTTGGCCCAATGTGGTTGTTAGTTCCATAATCTGAAAGATTTTGTTCTGCTCTTGAAAGCTAGTATAGTATGAAGAACAATTAAGATTTAAAATCAAATAGTTTTAAAAGTACTTAAGCAATACTGATCTGTAGGTTTATATGCAGTTTTAATTGGTTTTAGTAATGTTGTTCCCTAAATTTCATTTTATTAGAGTCTGAGTGTTAATCTTCCCTAGGTATTGATAAAGAGGATCATCTTCCCTGTGAATTTAATGTGCGAGTTCAATATACTTGCATAGAGTAGTCCTCCAGATAGAATGCTTCTGATAAGAACGTTCTTCTCCCAATGACCTGCTTAAAATTCCATCTTATATTTCTTACTTGAAATCTTATTGACTCTCAGTTGTTTCAGTGAAATTAGTATTCAGAAGTAGTCATAAGATAATTCTCCAAGTTGACTGAAAGAAGGAAGATTCACATTCACCAAAGCATATATATGTGCTGCTTCTTGAAAGTCTTGCAGGCATGAGACTCATTATAACTACATTTAGAGACTCAAACCAGTTCACAAAGCGTTTCCTTTTAATTTTTTCAACCACTTTTTGTAGCATTTCAAAGTGCAGAAGTTTTTAATGCTTCAAAGCTTAAACAGTTTGCACCAAAGGCTTCTTCACCCATATCAACCTGACCACATTTTAAGATGAGCTGCAGAGACCCTTCTTTTCTGTCCAGCTATGAAAGCAGTTAAGTTAGCGTACAGCAGAGAGAGCCTTCTTAGGAATGGTGTTGTACCTCTAGAGTGGATCACTGTTTGAGATCCTTCAGTTCCCATCATTGCAAATGTTCAGGAAAGCCTTGAGGACCCATTTGCTCCTTTCATCCTTTTCTTGATTGGCTTCTTATTGGACAACTCTTAATTTTTTAGCTGCAGTTGTGTATTAGATTTAATACTGTTCTGGTCTACATATTTGCTGCTGTTTACCAAGTTTATTTATTTTTCTATTTTACGACTATAAGGTGATTTGGGAGGCCTTTTTCCTTTACAAGTGCCCAAGAAGTATGCTGCATGAACCACAGATAACTATAAGAATGTTCACATATTTATCAATCTTTAATTATCTGTATGTTCAGAACACGTACACTCTTACTTCTCCCCTTGATATGACTTGTTTACTTTTAAAAGGTTTCACAAAACCCAACTCTTTCCCTGGACCGTGTCTCCACTACTTCAATCACAATGAATACCAAGTTGATACTGCATTCAGATTTGCTTTTTCAGTTGTGTTCTATCCCATTAAACTTTTAACAAGAAACACATCTCTTCATTCTGTAATATCTAATCTAAATATAGTTAGAGTAGGCTTATTTTTACACATTAAAGAAAGAAGCTCATCTCTTCCAGTTGAGTTACTAGAATGGTACTGAATGGTACTGTGATGGAGAGAGATGTATAGAGTGTGCAGTCTACATACTCTACAAATGCTGTACGTACTCTACAAATGCTATGCTGGAGTGTTTTCTTTATTTTAAAGTAAGGAGAAATTAGTGTGATCGTAACTTTTACTGAACAGTTTTAGTCCAGAAAGAAATGTGTTAACATCTAACAAAAACCTACCTCATTATATCTGCAGGTGTCTTTTAGAATGCCATCTTTAGACTTATTACAACTGTACATTTTGCAGCTTTAAAATTAAGCTATCTTTTGTTTTCTTCATGTTTTCCCCTACCTTCTTGCATACGTAGCATCCAAGTTGATAAAAGTGTCTGAAGAACTCAAAATTTTGCTCACTTCTAGGCCATTCAGATAGGCCTTTGAAATTACTGCCCAACTTGAATCTCTCCTTCCCACCACTGACCAATGTCAAATCATTTACAGAAGATGTTAACTGATTCTCACCAGGGATGTTCAACTGGCAGTGTCTTACTGATAGGAATCTGGGGATAACAATCTTGAGACAACCACTGCCAAATTCTGATTATAGGTCAGTCTGTTGAGAAATATGAGCAAAGACCTATTGAGATCAGGGGTTTTACTTCTGTATGCTTATTCAAGTGTTAAGTCAGTTTAGAAGAGAGTCTGAGATTGTTGTATCTAGTACTTATGAAATGCTTACCCTTTCAGTGGATAATTGTGCACTTTCTTATAACTCTTAGGATATCAGTCTGGTTGAGAATTTGATTCTTCGAAATCCTAGAAGTCTTTAAAATCAAACAAGTTAAGCAAGAGTTTACAAAACTGGGTAACTTGTGCTAGTTTTTTAGCAAAGCAGTTGCTTATACACAATAAGGGGACTGTTGAATCTAATGTATTCACTATTGCCATCTCTAGCCTATTTCATACACCTCTTGGCTATAACTTGCATTTGTTCCTTGCCTGAAAAGTAGAATTTGCCCACTTGTAAATATCCACCTGAGATGAGCATATGTCAGGGATTCATGATTGGTTGCAAGTGTTTATGACTATATGTGTAGCTGTTGGTTGATGGTCAGTTAAAGCCAAAGAGGGAAAAACAGTTACCCTTTATCTAAAACACTATTTGCATACAATTTCTGCTGTTGCCTTTCTTTATATGTACATACAATGGAAATTACCGTATTTTTTGCACCATAAGACACACTTTCCCCCCTCCAAAATGTGGGTGGGGAAGTCAGTGCGTCTAATGGTGTGAATGCAGCAATTTCGTCGCTGCTGGCCCCGTGGGGGGGGAGCGTCGCAAGGGTCCGGGTGAGCCTTCCAGGACCCTTGCGAGGCTCCCCCACCCAGCACCGGCGAAATAGCCAGCTTCCAGGTGGGTCCATAAGGCTCACCAAATTTTAGGAGAAGAAAGCAGATAATTTTTTCCTGTTTTCTTCTCCTAAAAATTTGGTGCGTGTTATGGAAAGGTGCGTCTTATGGAGCGAAAAATACGGTAAATCTGTATTTAGATTTGCTGTTTTGGTTGCAACTGTAGCCTTCCCTAATATGGTGGCCTCAAGTGGTTTGGTGTACATACAATTCCTGACAGGCTAACATCATTTACATGGATGATAAGAGTTGTAGTCTAAAGCTATTGAATAGGGAGTGGGCTACTGTCAACTGAATCAGAGACTGTAAATATATTTACCAGCAGCATGTCTTCACTGAATGTACTGAAGTTGTGGTTCATTTCGTGCCTCGAGCTAGAATGTACTGAGGAGTCTTGGTGTATCAAAGCTCTTCTGAAGCCATGAAGTCTGAGATAACCTTCCTTCCTGCCATTTTCAGAGATAGGAGAGGAAAATTGGTAGAGATTAGAGATGTAAAATTTCCCCAAAAATCTATTTTTTCTGGGGGGAAAATGTTTTCCCCCTATTTTTTTCTGGGAAAAACGGACATTTTCATAAATTTTATATCTCTAGTAGAGATCACATGAATTGTGGCTAGCTGCTGAGGCCAGACAAAACCTTTGTACTCATGACCTTTGGGAATGTAGACACACACATTGTATTTAAAATTTCTCTACCAATGTTCTTGGAGATTCTTAATAAATAATCTCTGCAGATGGGATTGCCTGTGCTTTTCCTTCTAATGTCTCATTTATTTCCACTTGGCAGAAAAGAGTTGACATTTTCTTTCATAGCTTTTTAATGTTGTGGCAATTCTGTGATTACCTAATGGCCACTTCTGCTTGTTCTCCATTTCTGCACTGAATGCAGAAAGGATATTTGGTACCATAGTATAGAAACTTGAGGTCTGCAGATGTTGCTGGACCCCAAGTCCCATCAACTGCAGCTACCATGAACAGTAATCAGGAATGATTAGTTGTAATTTTTTAAAAAGGAAAAACAAAACAAACAGAGTCTGTTCACATGCTAAGTTAACACTGTGTTTTAGTTTGGCACGAACATTTGGAACTGGTCTATTGTATAAATGCTTCAGTAGTAATCAGTGAATGATGGACCCTCCTTTTTACATGTTGATATTCCACTAGCTTTTCTTAGCCTTGTTTTTCTACAGTCTTTCTCTTCAGGCTATGAAGGCAATAAAACTAATTGATAATGTTTGGGTACTGCCTGTGAAATCTTAGAAACATACCAGTGTTTTTAAGCATGCTTTTTGGTGGCTGGGGACAAGGCTTCAGTGAATCATGCAGGTTAGTGGTTCCCACTCAAGAGTCCCCAGATGTTCTTGGACTACAACTCTCAGAAATCATGGCTAGTGGTGAAGGCTTCTGGTAGTTTTAGTCCAAGAACATTTAGTACAAGCTTGGGAACCACTGATAGAGATTATCACCCCATGTCCTCTTAAAAAATAAAAGATACGAAATAAGTCTATGTTCAAATTTGTATGCTAAGTTAAAGGCTATAGAACTGAGCTAAAATCTTATGCTAGAGTCATATAACCCTGATATAACCTGTATTGTCAGTGTATGGTAGTCTCTTATGTATTACTATGTGTGAGGTGTACAGTATATTGCTCAATCTCGCTGTGCTTCCTGAGATGCCAAATAACAGTCTTTTAAATGGGGTAAAGTTTGAAATGTAGACGTCTGATGCTTTACAGGGAAGACTAATGCAAAATAAAACAGATATTTCAGTCACAGGAAATGAATAGCTGTTTTCATAGAATAAATGGCAGACATCATCATTAGTCTAAGTCTCTGGTGATGGAAGGCAATTGTAATAGTGCAAGTAAATGTTTCTTCATTATGATTTTTTTAAAGGTTATGAGCCTACACACAGGGATTTTTAGAAATTACTGATTTGTAAAATGAGCTGGGAGCCTTTGGAGGAGTATATAAGCACTTTGAATGAATAAGTTTGCTTGGTGTCAAATTGTAGATTTATGCATGGTTATAAATTTTTCATAAAATTTATTTTGCAGACTTACTCAGGCCTGTTCTGTGTTGTCATAAATCCCTACAAGAACTTGCCTATCTATTCAGAAGAAATTGTGGATATGTACAAAGGCAAAAAGAGACATGAAATGCCCCCTCACATTTATGCTATTACAGACACTGCCTACAGAAGTATGATGCAAGGTAGGTATATATATATGTGTGTGTATATGTGTTTGTGTACATGTACATAATATATTTAAAAATCCAACATCTGTGCATTGCTGCACTCCTTTGAGTAGGCTAAACTTGTAGGTTTACTTTTAAAATGTCACTGAATGTGCGCAGGGGAAGTTTGAGAAGTTCTTCCTGTTGGAGTGGAGTTCTGCTATAATGCAGTGTTTAATTCTGGTCAGTTTTCTAGTTTCTGGAAAGCTGCATTCTTCTTTTGCTTTTGAATGCAGCTTAATCCATGGGGGAGGCTTGCTGCAGCAGCCAGTGGTATGGGAGGAATCTGAACACAGAAGATGAAAGGCCAAGGGCGCTGCAAGAACCAGAAGCATTCAGGATTAGCCGTTGTGTCCCAGACTCCATTCAGAACCTAACAGGCAGGAAATCTTTCATGGTTTTGAGCACTCTTTTTTAAAAAAACAACCCCCTAAAAAAAAACCACACACACACACAATTACACGCATAGGGCACCATGACAGGATGATTACTCTGATCCACCTCAGCATGGGGTGTGCTCATTTCCCAGAGCGGACAGAGCAGAAAGGCTTGCCTGTTAATTGGTTGGATTCCTGCACTGGGTTGAGGGCATCCTAATTGGCAGGCTGTGTGGCAGGCGCACAAGCTGCTTGATTTAAACTAATACTGGAATTGCTTAACCCTTTTTTGTAGTGCGTCTAGACAGATGTGTTACTGCAGCAGGCATCTCTTTTTGCAGTCCTAATAATTATTCTGCAATGAAGGAAGTTTATGCCCTAAACCAGATTAACTGGTGGAGGTGGGGCAGGAGACTTGTGCAGTGTGGCTGCATTCTTTGTCTGGCTATGTCTGAATAGCAGTGTGCCAGGACCTCTGTTGTTAGTACTCTATATGCTTCCAGTTACATTATCCTTTTTTCTAGGGGCCAGGTACTTAGGTAAGCATTGCAGTTTATTTCATGTGCTTGCATGGGCGTTTATGAAAGAACAGGAAGAAATAAGCAGTCATGAGTGTTTAGGAATCCAAACTTCTGGCCTCAGTGTGTAAATAATATACAGTAGAGGGTCTGTAGTATCTTACAGAGAATTGTGAATAAATCCAATAAATTTCTCTTCAGCCTGAGTGTATCTTGCAGAATTTTTTGAACCACACAAATCCAGCTGGCACAGGGTATTTTCCTGCTTTTCATAGTGCCCAGTTACGATGAAGTGGTGTAGAGAAGCATGCAGGATTCTGCCATTTTGTGGGTGGAGATGTGAGAAGAATCCTCAGTGATCCTTAGATCTCTTTATAGCTTCATGATTCTGAGATTTAGGTGAACCGAAAACATTTTTGCCAAGATCTGTTAAACATTAATTCTCTCTCTCTCTCTCTCTCTCTCTCTCTCTCTCTCTCTCTCTCTCTCTGTGTGTGTGTGTGTGTGTGTGTGTGTGTGTGAGGGGGAGAGAAAGAGGAAAAGAGCAAGACAAAGGCACATAATGTTTACATACTTCTGGAGTGGGGGGCAGGAATGTACTATTTGTTAGTCAAGTCTAGCCTGGCCGGCTTGAAGTAACATTCTGTATCCCTTTGAATCAGGCTTGTTTACGCTAGTCTTTTGTTCTGAAGTCTGATTCACAAAGGGAGATTTTCTTAATGGGCCTTTTCATTTTTAACAGTTGGTTAGGATCTGTGACTTCTCCAAAAGCTCATCAGTATTTCTCTTCACAAGTAGTTATGGGGGAAATGACACATTGTTTGTCTTTGGAGTGTGTTTTTTCTGTGTGTGTGCCAGGGCAAGTTGTCTGCATATTGTGAAGCATTCTTACTTTTTGCCCTAAAAGTGTTCTTTTCAGTTAGTCTCTTACTCTAATGCAGCAATCCTGTGAAGCTACTACTGTAGAATAAGCCAGTCTGACATTATATTAACACAGAAAGCTGTTTCTGCTGAGTTTTCCCCCCTTTGATCTTTATAGTTTGTTTTAATATTATAACCCTCTTGAGGAGAAAGACAGGGTATAAATACTTTAAATAAATAATACATTCTATTGATTAATCTTTAATGGCTGGAATACTGTCATACGTTTCCACATGTACAATGGTTTTGTTGCATGAATGGTGACTGAAATACACCAGTTGCATGTAAGGGTGGTCCATTGTCCCCTGGCAAGTATAAGCCCCATGGTTTCCAATGGGGCAATCTTTGACTCTAAGCCAAAGGTTGCATGAGAATTGCGCAAGTCCTTTGTCTGTGCAGCAGTTAACACCCTGTAGTTACAAATATGATTCTGGCCAATAATAAACAAATGCATATTGAGGCTGATTAGAGAAAGTTCTTCCTTTCAGTGTTTAGTTTAATTTCTTATGTTGGATTAACTCATTTGTAGTACAACATTCTTATTAACAATGGGAAAATGGGTCCATAAATGGTAATTATGGCATGATTTTTTTACTCTAAGTACTTAACGGCATGCATGTACTGGTTCATCTAAGGGTTTTTCTACTCTTTGCTCTGATTTATGTTGACTTTTATGTACTGTGACAATGTGTGCCCAGATTTTCAAAGCATGGCAGTGTGTGCGCAATTTGTTTGGTTTTAGTTTTTCCTGCATTTTCTGTTTCTACCAAGAGACTTAAACGGCAACTTCTAAACTGCTCTGTTATGATTGCTATTCTGGAGTGGCAATTTCCTAGCAAATTATGGCTGAGGAAGTCTGTCCAGCTATGGAGGAAAATTTTGGTGCCATTAGCCAGATGGAAAACAGATATACCACAGTTATCCAGTGTAGTGCAGTGCAGTGCTGTGGTGGATGACTAGCCTTGTGAAACATGTTTAAAAAAAAAAAACTAGACCAATTCAAATGTTTCCTGACAATCCATTATGATTGACTTAGGAGTTCAGTATCAGGATTAAACTCAGAGTGCATACATTTATTTTTTTAACTCTTCAAAGTTTTTGTAAACAGCTTATAATAATAATGATAATAATAATAATTACTCTTAAAGGTTTTTGACAACAGCTTATAATCAATTCTGACTAATGGCAGTCCTTTTCAGGGTTTTCCAGGTAGAGCATACAGAAGTTTACCATTCCCTTCCTTTGGGGTGCCCTGGGACTGTACAGCTTGCCCAAGGCTACACAGGCTGACTCAGACTCCCAACTTCTGGGAGCCATACCTGAATCACTGAGCTAGTCAGATAGCTTATATCATAATGTTAATATATATATAAGATGTGTATAACTTGCCATGCCTAATTGATGAAGTGCCAGGATATGTTTTGGTCATGGGCCTGGTAACACACTTGACTGTGCAACCAATACACACCCCATCACTTAGCCACAATTAACTGGGCAAGTTATGCAAATTTTATGTGAAAACCAGTAGGATTCCAGCCAATGTCAGTTGCAGATTGGATAGTAAAGATTGACTGACTGACTGATTGATTTATACCCCACCCATGCCACTACTCTGGGTGGCTTACAAAATATTATTACAACCATATAAAACATATAAAAAGAAAACAAAACCCACCTCCCCCATAAAATCACCCATCTGGGGCAAAAGATGGCAGATATTGATTGTGCACACCCTATGTAAGTAAAAAGAAAAAAAACTTATTCCATTTGCATTTATCAAGATGTTTCATAAACAGCACAAAAAGGCAGTTTAACCTTGGTTTGGTGTTGATCCAGACTAGAATGAAGGTCCACCATTCTTAATTGTCATTGTGTCTCATGATTAACATCTGTTCTCAGACAAAATGAAACCCACAGAGTATAACAGAGCAATTTTACTATGATACATACAGGAAGGAATGATATAGTGGTTTTTAAATGATTTTTGTAAGTAGAATTGTTTTTCAGTATAAATAATTTTAGTGGGAACTGGGGCACATGCCTTTCTTTGGTTTGGGTCTCTTTAAATTGTCTGTCTCCAGTTAGCAAAATGGGAGGTGGGAAGAAGAGAGCTTTTCCATTAGTAGTAAAATTGACTTGAAGAGAACAGAAGTAGACATACATTTCCAATAAAGAGAGCATGCAATTCTGAGAGTGTGCCTGCAACCAAAAATCCTGTATCTTGACTCTGTATATAATTATCTGGTAAGCCTTCTGTAAATCTCTTTTGGCTAACAAAGTGCCTCCAAACTTTTTTTATTAAGAATTTTCTCTAGTTCAGACAAAACAATTAGATTATATTTAAACTTTTCAATTGGCTATCTTCTTAACTGCATGGCATCCTGACCCTGCTAATTATCAGTGGGGTGCAGGAGATGCCAAGGGTGAAATGGCAAGATGACAAGTTTTTTTTTCTTTGCCCGTTCTTTCCTTTGCAGGAAAGAATCTCCTGAACTTCCCCACCCCCATAGAATGTTAATAATGGAGCACTGTAGGGGACAGAGAGACAGCTACGGAGAGGTGTTCATTTGCAGATGACACCAAACTTGGTTGGTAGCTAATACATTAGAAGACAGAATCCGAATTCAAAACAACCATAACAGATTAGAGAAGTGGGCCAGTATGAAGAAAATGAATTTAAACAGAGAAAAGATAAAGTTCTGCACTTATGCAAGAAAAAATTATTACAACAATATAGGGCGGGTAAAAGCTGGGTTGGAATTATTACATGTTATCTACTAGGGGTCCTAGTAGATTTTGAGCTAAACATGAACTAGCAATGTACAAAGCAGCAGAAAAAAAGTGAATGTTATCTTATGGTATATCAACATAGTGTCCAGATCAAGGGAAGTAATATTAACACTCTGGTCTGTTTTAGTCAGAACTCACCGAGTTTTTGACCCTATACTTATATCAAGAAGCTGGAATATGTCCAGAAGAGGGCAACCAAAATGGTAACCAAAACCTCATGAAGAAAGATTGAGGGAACTTGGCATGTTTAGCGTGAAGAAGAGAAGAGTGAGAAGTAATCTGATACAGTATGAATATGGTATTTGAAGGGCTGCCACATGGAAGAGCAGGCTTGGCTTTTGTAGCTCAAGAGGATAGGGGCAAAAGTAATGACTTTAAGATACAGGACAGGAGATTTTGACTAAACATTAGGAAGTACTTCCTGAGAGTGAGAGCTATTTGACAACAGGATCATCTATCTGCCTCAGAGTTGGTAGATTTTTATTCACTGGAAATGTTTAAGCAGAGGTTGGATGGTCACCTTTAAGGGATGCTTTAGGTGTAGATTTCCTGTATGAGCAGGAGCCGGTCCCTTCCTACTCTACCATTCTGTGATTCTATGATTTATGTTCACTTTCTCTTTCTTATAATCCTGTTTTGCCAGTGGTGTTAGTGCAGTTTCATGTTCTGGCTGTGATGCCTTGGTATTTCTGTGGATAAAACAGGATTTACTAAATTGGGGCTGAGTCTGGGGGAGTGAGGAATTATGTTTTCTGTGGTTAGGAGGCAAACTTTGCCATCTAGCTATAGTCAAGCTTTCTGTGTGGGTGAGTCAGCTATAAGCAGGGATCAAACCCTTGCCTCTTTTGCTCCACTTCCTCTTGGCTGGAGAGATGATGTCACCATTATGTGAGTGCTATGTTCTCCTTTTATGGAGCTAAACAGACTCAACTCACTGTTGCTCATTCAGAGGAAGTGGGCGATAACGGCCTGTTAGGGTGTTCTTTAACTGAGTTGTGAAGAATTAAATTGCATTTTGCACTGTCACTTCCCACCCTCACTTCTATTTTAAAATGAAGTTCTCCTTGCATTCATCTGCCAGAACATGAATGCTTCAATCACATATGCTTAAGAAAAGTGTGATAAAAATGTGTGTGGACTCCAGGGGTAAAATTGTGAAGCAATTTATATCTAATGCTCCAGAATCATATATCTGATGAGATGGGCTCTGGTAAATGAGATTTCATGCCACATTTAATATGTTATTCCACATATATGTGTGTATGCCTCAGTGTAATAATTAATCATACTCCTGCATCAGCTGGAATATATCAGAATGGTGGATCTTTAGAATCTGTTGAGTTTTCTTTTTTTAAATTTCTGTATGCCATAGACTAGCCTTGCTAATAAATAATCTGGAGGGAGGAGTTAAGGTCTATAAAGAAATATTCTTTTTAGCTGCTCTGAAATTCAGAGTCCTTGCTATAATTGAATGACTGGGCTACTTACTGGAAGCAATCCAGTCCAGGTGTATATCTAGGCCTGTAAATCAGATATTGGTTCTTTCCACTTCCTTGCCTTCTGTGATGAGTGTTTGGTTCCGTGTTTCTCACTCCCCTCCAACAAACCAAATCTGTCCGTTGGTGCCTGGAATTTTTGCACACTTTCTTTGCCATGGACTTATTCCAGATGTGGAATTGAGGGAGAAGCTCCTTAAAATGTGTCCCTTTGATATTAGCATCCGAAAAGTAATCTTTGTGTCATAGGCAGATCAGAGCCTGCATAAGACAGGCAATTGTTTTACACAACTATTTAGGGTTTTTATTGGGCAGTAGCTGTTTTATGCATATGTGGGTTTCCTGCTGTGGGAAGAGATGTGGAAAAGGCACTTTTGATGGTTGAACAACAGGAAGCAGGATGCCATGCAGCACTTGTCAGTTGTCAGTAAGCAGAGGAATTCCAGCTATCCCAATGATGAGTGCTTTTACAGGGCTGGGAAAATTCTTTTTCCTAGATTCCAAAGGGACTGTTTCCTTTTATGGTAGTGTCTGCATACCGCCATGTGACTTGCCCAAACTTGCAGGTACATTCCTGCAAGCTTAAAGAGGAGGTGACTAACAGACTTCTAGCAAATGGAGAGAGGGGGCACAGAAACAGTTGCTGAAAGGAAATGATGGACTTGGGGGTTTCTTTGACTTGTTGCCTGCTAATAAAGACAATACAGAATCATTTGTTCGTATGATTAGAGAGAGAGTGTAGAAACTACTTTTCTCCTAAGGAATTCCAAGCGAATTAGTCAGCTGCTGCGTTGTGGTTTTCCTGCAGGCTGACACGAAAGTCTCTCCTGCCCTTTGGAGGAGAACTCCTCCTGCAGGAAAAAGAAAAACGGCATGCTAGGGCTCTGGATGTGCAGGGCCATTGTTGGGCATCTCCAGCTGGGCATCTGCTGAAGATGGCACCTTGTAGAGGAACCGTAACCTTGCAAAAGTATGCTTGGCCGCTTAGCAATGAGGTGTGAATAAATGGTTGTCTAGAGAGGAGCAGCAGTTCCTAAACGTCTCTTACTTTAAACAAAGTGTCATAATTGTTCAGTGAAACAGTAACCTCCCTGGAGTTGCCTGCATGATACAGAACCACCCATTTGTCTGTGCTGCTGAATGTAATCTCCTGGGGCTATGTGCAAATGAATCATTAGTCGGTCCCCTGAGCCTCCCTCTAAATGCCCAGTCATGCAGAATCCTTCCGGGTGCTTGCGTGTGCGATCCATTGCCAATATGAAACCTTTAACCCTTATGGTCTTCTGAACCAGCCAGGGGTCAAAAAAGAATACCTGTAAATCACTTCACATGTTAATAATTACTCTGTACTTATGTCACATATGTAAATACAGTATATTAGACACATGAATGGTCAGATTTACAAATCATGAACCCTTGCCTTATAAGTGCTCTTATTTGTCCCTTTAACATTAACAAAAATCCAAACAGTATTTTCCTTTGTAAAGGTGGATGTAAATTAGTTAAGAAGATTGGTTTGTCAGCTTGATTATGTTGCTTCTGATCCCATACAGTAATTATGCAGCAAGGGTGGCGATACTAAAAATGACCAGGGTTTTAGTTTCTCTTTCTGTGATCCTAGTGATGAAGTATGACGGTTATTCATGTAACATGGGTTTCTCAGGCTATCTTTTAGTACTCACTTTTGTACTATATCTCTTGATTTGCCTTACACAATGATTAAGGTGCAGCCTGTGTGGTGATTTATGTTAACAGGGGGCCTGAGATGGTGCATCTCCATTTAAAAAGGTGGCGGGAAAGGAAGAAAAAAGGCTTTCTTGATTTTTGCTCAAATCTGATCTTCCTTTGTTTGCTTCTCAATTTTAGATAGAGAGGATCAGTCCATTCTCTGCACGTAAGTATTTTCCCACTTATTTATTGATTGATTTATTTGATTTATACCCCGCACCATCTGGCACCCAGGCTACTCTGGGTTGGTGTAACTTTGGGCAGCTTAAAAATATGTAAATTATTAAAGTGTAGTTGACCCATATGAAGGTTTTTAGTGTGAAACTAAAGCCTTTCAGGTTTAATGGATACTTCCAATGGCATGTCGGTACAGAGTTGTTCAAATGTTTACCTAATCTTGCTGCAGAAAGTTTGAAGCCAGGTTAAAAAAAATCAGAAAAGGGTGTTATAGGCCCCCTAGTGGAAGTTTTCCTGTAAATACAGTGTCTTATTTCCCTGAAAATAAGACAGGGTCTTATATTAATTTTTGCTCCAAAAATGTGTTAGGGCTTATTTTCAGGGGATGTTTTATTTTTTTCATATACAACAATCTACATTGATTCAAATACAGTCATGTTGTCGTCTTCTGGTTGCTGCACAATGGTGGAGGGTGGGATTTCACTTTACTGGGGCTTATTTCTGAGGTACGGCTTATATTAGAGGCATCCTGAAAAATCATACTAGGGCTTATTTTCAGGTTAGGTCTTATTTTTACGGAAACAGGGTAAAAATGGTAACAAAAACTGAGAGAAAACCAGACCTAGAACTAGTAGGTTTTCCAGCTGATTGTTACTTTTGTTCAACCTATGCAAGCCAGGGTAAGACAGCTGGGATAAAATGTTACAGGGCTTCTGAAAGTCTATTACAGAGCAGTGGGAGAGGTGTGTATTGAGATCCATTTTGAACAAGTTTTGTCTCTTGCAGAGGTGAATCTGGAGCTGGGAAGACAGAGAACACCAAGAAGGTGATTCAGTATTTGGCTCATGTTGCTTCATCACATAAGACCAAAAAAGATCAAGTAAGTGTTAACTTATTATGTGAGATTATGTAGCCCAGCCTGATGATTACTGGGTTCAATTATCACTAATTCCAGGAGAGGTCAGAACTGGGCTGATCTTAACTTTCCCACTTGCTGCCACTACTTTGAAGGAGTTGCAGTAGAATAGATGTAAAATTCTGTCTAAATGACTGTTCTTTGTGAAAGGGTTTGACAGGTCAGTCTCTTACAAATTTGGAGGTAGTGCCTACCTCTTCATTGAAAAACCACTCCTCCCCATAGTGTTGTGGCTGGTTATCTTTCCATTTGCAGTGAAGAAACTTCATCATAGAGTCTTCATGTTCAGTGTTATAGATAGTAATCAAAAGAATTTTCTGACAATGTATGCCTTATTGTGCTAAGAGGGTATCTATGAAATATTGTCTCATTTATCTTTTCCCCCTTCTCCCCTTGATGGATTATGTCCGAACTCAGCAGTTGGGACTTCGTAGGTGAGCTGCACGTTTACTGCACGATCTGCACCAGGAATGTGTGTGTTGCCCCATTGTGTGACTTGTAGCAGCTTTTCACTCCCACAAACGTCACTTTTTGCCACTAGAACAATGTTGTGAACCAGTTCACATTTGATTCCACACAGACATTTTTCCAAGTGTCCAGAATGGGAGACTGCAGTTTGTTCCTTAACTTTCTCTCACTTATAGTCTATGCTTATTAGCAGTTGGCACTTTAGGCCTGTCTTACAGATATTTTTTATTTGCACCAAGTGAAGTAGTGACACACACACCCTCTCTAGAGTCATATAGTATTCCATTTTGGTCTGGTCAAACAGAGCTGATTGACTTTTTCCTGGCCTCCCAATCCACTGAGCATATTAGCTGCGGGTTTGGGAAAGGTCAGGAGGAAACAGCTCCAATATAGACTGGATGTTTCAGCCCATCACCTTTTTACTGCAGTTAAGTAAAAGTTGAAATGCTAGTTATTTTGTAAACATTCTAATGAATCCCAGATGCCAAGTGTATTGCTGCATAAAATCTTGATATTTGATACTTTAATATACTGGCATGCTGTGTGTCTATAGGTTAGTTCTCAAAACATCTTTGCATGGTGTGTGTGTGTGTGTGTGCACATTGTAATGAGTGGTTCTTGGAAGCAAACCAAGATTTAGTATTCAGTATGAAAAACATTGAGAGATGACAGATTTTTCCATAGACTATCAACTCATATGTTTAGAAATACATTTTTTGGGGGGGGGCATATTCTTTGTTTTAGGATTAAAGGGTCTGAATGAAGAAATACTCTTTTTGAATGCTGGCAGCCTAACCTATAAGGTTACAATCCATTTATGCTAACGGGAGGGGGCAGTTTCTGAGCCCTATTACTCACTTCTAATGAGATACTATCTTTGCTTTTTCCAGGACTGGGAATAGCAAAGGGATGTTACTTCTAGAAAGGCAGCGTTAGCTGTTTTCCCATGTGTCATATTGGTAGTTTAAGGTTACTTTCTGAGAATCTTTTTTGTCCCCAGATATATAAAACAGGAATTAACCATTGTAACTGTCTTGTTTGCCTTTTTTTAAAAAATTAAATGCCACAAAAGCCTGGAACCTGTCTGTGGTTAATAGAAACTTTGTACCAAGAGTTGTGACTTGGAAGGAGAATGGATCTGGCCTACGTAGAAGCTTTATATGTTCTCTATCTATTTGGGGAAATGTTTCATCTACCATTTCTACAGCTTGCCTGGTGGCTACCTAGTTGGAGGAAGGCATCAGCATTATTGTTTGTTTTTAGTAGACAGTGGAGTTGGTTGAGAACTACAACAGTTAGCTTGAAATTGGTCTCAAGGCATGCTGGACCTCTTTTGGGCTCTCTTGTATCTGACTTGGATCATAAATAACCTAAAGAGGGGAGTTTTTAAAGTCTTTCTGGGTAAGGGATCAAATATATGAAGATTCCCAAGGTGGACACTATTCTTGGATTCTTTCCTAGAGGAAGTCTTTGGAGTGCATGTGTGGGAAAATTGTTAAAGACACATGTGAGATAATTCTGAAATCCTAAAAGGTCAAAAAATCTGCAACCCGCAGTTTACCCTAAAGGAATACAAGAGGTATCCCAAGCAGCATATTAGAGATTAGATTGGCAGCACTGACATCAAGACAATATACTGTTTCTTGGAAAAGCAAGATTTAGTGCTAAGTCTGGATTAGATTTGAAGAAGGAAATATATTTCTAAGACCCTCCAAGAGTGCTTGGATGTTACTTTATGACCAAGATAGGCCTTGTAGAGAATTTTGGACAGGACTTGCATACATAGCTCCTTCATTCTTTGGAGAAATGAATGACTGTGTAGGAGATTATATGGTTTGAGCAACATATATCCCTTCCTCTTTGCTATTAAGGTGTTTTTAAAGTTATCTACGTTTTGCTTCAAATCTCTTCCTTGGTAGTGTAGAAAATAATATATGCAGAGGTCCTAACCTATGTGTCTGAGAGATAGTTGAGGAAAATAGTATTCAGCCTATTCTTACAATATCATAACAGTCCCTTTTTCTAATGGAAACTTAGTGAATATTGACACCAGTTGAAGTATTTTTAAGGGGCTTTAAAGTCCTAATTTTCCTTAAAACAAAGCTTATGCAGACAGTACATCATGCTTTGGAGAAAAGCAGTGCTCCAGACGTCTCCAGAAGGACAATTCTCATTTAAAGCAACATGGATGATGACTCTGCACTGTATTTTAAGCAAAAAATGGGGGAGGGAGCAGTTCTCCTTAATTCAGGAATGGGCTTTTTAAACTTCTGTCACCAAGCTGCATACAGCAGAATGGAAAGGGGAGCCCAACTCTGGAGTGGGGAATTGGCCCTATGAATCTAGCCATTCCCAAGCACTTTAGTTTCAGCTTTACTGAACTTTGAATTTTTTGCTGTAAGTTTTATTGTAAACCATCTTGTTGTCTTTTTAAAATGAACAATAAATAATAAACCTTTTGGCTGGAAGGAATGCCTAAGGATTACATGTTCCCCAAACTCCATGGAGGAATATCTTTTGGGAAACAAAAGCAGAAAACTCAGGAACTAAAATGTCCTATTGTAGCCCAGAACTGAAGGACTCCTGTTAGGAAATGGGAATACTGTATGCTCAGCATCTTGTTGCAGCTCCTACTGGCTTTTTTTTATGTTTAGAAACTTTGAGCTTTCATAATCGGCTCGTCAGTTAGGGGGCAACCAATTCTCTCTTTGAATCCCCCAGTGGTTAGCTTCCCCAAAGAAGCTATAATAGGAAGTGCTCTTTTTGGGTCTTAACAGCACTCTCCCCTCTGCATTTTCTTCCATGCTCCATGGCTTGGCCCACAATCAGTTAATGTCTCCTGCCAAATCTGTTGTTCTTAAAGTGGAAGAGGTACAACAAATTAATGTTGCTTGCACAAGACACTCAAGGCAACCAGTATTCTTTATAGCTGGGGTTTTAGCCAAATACTGGATGCTGGCACTGAAATTCTGAGGCTGCTGCTTTTCCCTCAGAGCATAGTTTTTCTTTAGAGCTTGACCCTACATTGAAGTTGTAGTTTTTCAGTTTGTGACATCATTTGTTCTCATAGCAACAGGCTGCGATCACAAACAAAAGATTAGGACGCCACTGTAAGATCAAACTGTAGAATTGCCAGGAAGGGGAGCAAAGGCCTTTCTCTCACACCCATGCCTGGGTGGCAGCAGAGGGACTTACACTGCTGACAAACTAAACTTTTCAATGCACATCAGAGACTTTGCTTCCCTTGACCCAGTGGCTAGGATGGGCTTTGATGGCCAGCAGTTGTCCTTGCCTTGATCTATTCCCATGGCTTAACAGTCCTCTCTGACAACACAAAAATATGTTACTGTGGCTTCATTCCGTATTTTGTTCCAAACTTCAAGGATAGCCTGAACACATCATCACCCCTTTAATACAAGTCCATGTATTGCACTGGAAACACTGTAATAGCATTATGATGATATAACAACATGCTGCTCCTGTCTGAGGAAAGGAAAGAAGTTAAATAGGCGACGTGGGATTTGCTTATTCACTGAACTGTAACAGGTTACTCTGTAGGGGTCAGAGGTGTGTGTTGGGAGTGTGTGAGTGGAAGAGAACATATAGATCCTGACCTAAATAATTTGAAGGTTGTACCAAATCTACAGACTCATTTGGGAAATAAAAATATTTCAGTAATCTTTCACGGGGGGGAGGCACAGCCGTATGGGCTGAATGTTTGACTCCTTTGAAGTGGCAGTTTCTGCTTTGTTAAACACAGCTCTTGGCTCTTTGTCCAGAATTATCAAAAATCAGTCTTCCTGACTGGAAGGCTTTCTTTTCCTTGGTGTCCCTCCTTCTGTTGTAAACATGAGAATTCAAATTAAGACTACTTGGGGCTTCTGTTGTTGACATTTTACAGTGGAGTAAAGATTGCCCTTTGGTGGTGCTGCACAGGATATTTGGTGACTTTTCAGAGACTGATATGGTATAGTGATTAGTATAATACAGAAATCTTTGTTTCTGCTCTTGGCTGTTGTCTCAGTAAAGGGCATTTAGGCAAAGCTCTGTCTACTAGCTCCCTGCCTACTGTTTGAGGCCTCTTTACAAAATGGCTGCTTATTCTTTTTTGGTATTAACTGGAAAGCAACAGAGCTCCAACCTGCAACCACCCCTCTTTCTTTCTTTACTAAAGATTAATGATACATAGATTTCTTAAAGCATGGATGGGCAGCTATTGCCTCCACATGTTTTGGTCTATACAATAGCTCTTTATGCAAGCTAATGAGGGACTTTCAGTTCAGAAACATTTGGGGGACACAGTTGCTCACACTTGGCTTTAATAGTATACATAAAAATAAGGGTGGTAGTTCATCAAAGGCCTGTTTCTTAATACTGCGTTCAGTTTAGTGAGTCCAATGAATCCAGTAAATGCACCTGTCAAGATTACACTGCAGCTGTTATAGAAATACCATCAGAAGTAAAGTGTCTCTCTCTCTCCAGAGCTTAGATCTAAAGACAAAAGTGAGTTCAAAAATACGAACCCAAGAAACTCCTGGAATAGAACTGTAAACAGTCATCTTAACTCAGTTCTAATAAATGCTGGAATATAGTAAACATACATTTGCATATTCATTGATGGCAGCAAGCACATGTTTCTGTTTTGGGCTTATTGAAAGGGACGTTTCTTTATGTTGCTAACCTTCTCTTATCAATGGAAGAATTATGATTCGTGAACCATACATCTTCAGATGATTTGGCAAATTTTCTAGCCAATAATTTCTAGACTAATGTGCTGAAAGTTATTTATATTTGTTTTGGATTTCTTTTCCAGGGAGAGCTTGAAAGGCAGCTTCTTCAGGCCAATCCTATACTGGAAGCCTTTGGGAATGCCAAAACGGTTAAGAATGACAATTCTTCGAGATTTGTGAGTATCTGCTCCCTTTAGTTGGATACTGCCTTCCCTTGTTTGGAAAAAAAAGCTGGATGGGGTTAAATAGATTTTGGTTGCTTGATCTTGGATATAGTTCTCAATTCAAATGGCTTTGCTTTTTTGGTATTTTGATGATCTTATATTTTAAATTAGTATTTACAAAGAGCTGTATTCAGATTGTATGCATGGACCAATCTAAACCTTGAGTAACTGTGGCATGTTTAAGTTATGCAAATTTACATGGAAATTGCATCTTCTGGAGTGGTTTTCAATGCATTGACCTACAGAATTTTCAGCCTGCAGCCACAGTTCCAATACGGATTAATTATGTAAGTCAAGGGTCCACTGCAGTTAACATAAATGCTAACTTATAAAATTTTAATTAAATCAGTGGCATTAACAGTTCCATTTAGACCAAATGAATCTATTTAAATCTATCCTTTCATGTCTTTGTCAAGTAGAACCTGTGGCAGCTATGAAGGTCCAATCAAAATGCTTTGTAACAGGTTCTTTTGCTTTAGTATTCTAAATCCCACTTAATAGAGGGGTCAACTATTGTTGGTAAAACTTACTTTGATACCACGTTCCTTTGATCTATAGAACTTCCTCTGTGGCATAATTTTGGGTTTTGCAGAAAATTTGAGAAACAGATCTGTATGAAGATATGAATATGACATTGTTAATATGGGTAGTTGGCTAACATGTCCCAATTCATTGTTTCTTCAGGGGAAATTCATTAGAATCAACTTTGACGTAAATGGCTACATTGTTGGAGCCAATATTGAAACTTGTATCCTTCCCACTGTTTAGGGGAAATATAATCAACTCCCACAGAAAGAAGGGTGGACACAATCAGTTTTGCCTTAGGAACTGTGCAGCTGGTCAGCATTTTGAGGCTTGGCGAAGACTGTATGAAATGGTTGTCTTTTAGCAGAAGTACTTGGCAACATCAGGTTGAAATATGTGTTTGTGTACCAATTTGAAATGGAGGACTTTTATTGTTTTAGCTACAAAGAGAAATACCTATGATCCAGTTAGCAGTTCTATCTTTGTGCAGAAATTAATAATATTGTGGATGGATATCTGAGAGCCAAGCTATGACACAATGCCAAAATAGAACCAAGTGTTATTTCACCTTCCTCTTAAACTTGTATTCTAGAACAGTGGTCCTCAACCTTGGGCCTCCAGATGTCCTTGGACTTCAACTCCCAGAAATCCTGGCCAGCAGAGGTGGTGGTGAAGGCTTCTGGGAGTTGTAGAGGCCCAAGGTTGTTGGGGACTACTGTTCTAGAGAACGAAATACTATTTTTGTGAGCCAAATATTCTGTGTTGGTCAAGCCATGAATATTTAAATTGAATGCTTTACTTTTCCTGTAGTCGTATACAGTATCTGTTTCCATGTAGATATAGAAAACATTACATTCGTTGGGTGGGTGAGGGGGAAACTTTTTTAAAAAAAATCATGTTAGGATTTACTAGTTATTTGGTGGAAGAAAATGAAGATAATAGGAGCAGGCAACAAGCATACAAGGTGTGGTAGCTCAATTCTTAATACTGGAACTTTTTGTAAAAATGACCAACCCACTTATAGTTTCCATCACGTTTGAAAAAGGCACCAACCTTTGGGAGAGCATACATGCATATAATTTTAGAAATGGGCAGGTGTGTGTTTTTGTTCTCTTAACTCACTGAAAGATCTGTTGGAGAAATCGCGAGCAATACGTCAGGCCAAAGAAGAGCGGACATTCCACATCTTCTACTACTTGCTGAGTGGTGCAGGGGAACATTTGAAAAGTGAGTACTTTGTGCCACAGTGACAGGCACCTTCCTGCAGAGGGTTGTGTGCATGCCAAACCAAAGCCTGCTACTGCATCTTTACAAATACTTGATACAGCAATCTCCTGGGAATTGCCCTCTGCTTACAGTTCACAGATGACTTTATAGGCAATAAAGGGTAAGCATCTGGTCACTTCCAGTTTGCTTACAGAGCAACCCACTCTTTCAGCATTTTCCTGCTTTATGTAAGTGTTGGAGTAGATGGGATATTGAAGTGAGATACCATTGAACTGTAAAGTTAAACTAGTTAACTGCTGAAATGGGGAAGTGTACTTATTCTGTGTTTTACTATTGTTGCTTCACTGTTGGCTAGGCAGAGTTTGATTCTTATGAAGAATGAAACAAAGCCAGTTCAGTACTAATCCAGATGGGAACTGGTTTTTCATTGAAAACATAGCTTAATATTGGAGATCTGCCTTTTAGCAGATGCTAGGAATATTCAGTCAGGGTTTTGCTATAGGAAGCCTAATGTAAGCAGTGATAGTCTTTGGTAGCGCTAAATCTGAGCTACTAAATGTGGTATACATTATGTGAATTTTAGCCCCATGGCATGTCTAAGCAAGATCTGCTTGTTATGATGATGTATTCCAATTTTCTCATTTTTTAGATGATTTGCTGTTGGAACCCTACAATAAGTATCGCTTCCTTTCCAATGGACATGTTACAATTCCAGGCCAGCAGGATAAGGACATGTTTCAGGAGACGATGGAGGCAATGCGGATCATGAGCATTCCAGATGATGAACAGATGGGTATGGCTCTACTAAAAAGAGCTTAAGATGTGCAAGAGAGTTGTGGTGAAAAGTGCCAATTAATATTATTAGCTATTTATTTGTATGGATTTTCCCTCAAAATGGTGCCCACAGTTGCTCTGAATATACCAAATGAACATATATGTAACAGTTCTAAAAACTGAAGGGAAAGAACTACAAGTAATTCTAAGATAAAATAAATATAGCAATCTATTCTTTTTTAGAAAGTAGTAAAAGTAAATTGATATTAAAGCTAAACAGAAGGGAGCATACAACCTAACACAAAATTAGGAATATAACTCATGCCAGACCCAATAGATCTTCACCATTCCACAAAGATGTGATAAGGTTCTCAACAATCTGCAGACACTAGTTGGTAGCCATGCTTCTTCCATCCTTCTCCAGAACTCTTGCCTGGAGAGATTTGACAGTCGGTCCAAATTCAAATTTCATTTCTATGAACAGTCATTTAAAAAAAAGAACATGTTCCTGTTCACTGTTACTATATTTACCATAAAACTATATGTACTGTATACGCTTCTTAGGTGTCTTCAAATCTAATTAAATCCTAGTTTGGTACAATTGTTATTTTAATTTAAAATTTTTTTGTGATTTGGTTGTGCATTGCTATCTTTGTGATGCTAGTAAATGGCCCAAGTGTTTTACTACATCCTTCATGCCACTATTATTTATAAAAATGTTCATTGTGGAAGGCATCATTGGGTTCTTACCTGCTTCTACAATAGGCCAAAAAATTCTGTTGATCTCTTTCTATTTCTGTCCACTTATGTTCTTCAGGAAAAATGAGCTTATTAAATGTCATGGAGAAATTTCTTAATAGGAGGCGGTCTAATGCAGTGGTTCTTAACCTTTGTTACTCGGATGTTTTTGAACTGCAACTCCCAGAAACCCCAGCCAGCACAGTTGGTGGTGAAGGCTTCTGGGAGTTGTAGTTCAGGAACATCTGGAGGCCCAAGGTTGAAGACCATTGGTCTAATGGATAGCATTGTAGTTGTAACTTTCACTACATAAGAGTTTCTTTAGCAAATTATGTGCCAGCAGGCATTCTAACCTGCCCTGTGACATATAGTGCGTTGTCGATTGCCAAGTGTGTACAGTTCATTAGCGGTGGCAAGGTTTTTCATGTGCCTGTTTGCACGCTTGGGTAAAACTATACTTTTGGTATCACTGCTCATGCTATGGATGAACATCCAAAGTTTTGAAATGGTCATTTGAGTTAGGGAAGAGGAAACAGGAAAATATCCCCTACTTCTGTCACATCTCAGCTTCTGAATGCATTAAACCAAAGAATATACAAGATCTGGAAACAAGCTGGTAAAATCTTCTTTGGACCTACCCGTGGCATTCTAAATTGTGTTTGCTTAAACAAGATAATTAAAGGAACCTGTTGGCTGATGTAGCAGTTATAAAACAGGGACTCTGTACTTCTGAGATAGCTTGGCTGATATGAACTACTGGTGAGATGTATAACTGCTGCTGTTCAGTACTGCTGTTGTGTAGTACTGATTTATTTACTGTTCTTTGACACTACCCAAGTTTTATGGGTAGCAGACAAGCTGGAGGTCCAGATACTGATCTAGAAACAGTCAGTTGCACAGCAGCACCAAGGAGTTCTAAGGGAACATTTGTCTTAACTAGAGGAGCTGCTGGCAAACAACTACATCACTACATTGCCAGTTTTGTTAGTCTGGTGTCATCTACGACTGTTGTATGATCCTTAAGAGTAAGCAAACTGGTGGCCCTTGTTGACTGGAGAAAGCAGCATAGTGCACAGTAAATGTGCAGCTTCTGTAAGATTTCTTGGATATAATAAGTTTTATTTTCAATGAGCCAAGGTCCCTTCCTGCAAGTCATACTTGACTGGCAACCTGTTCTTAGGGAGACAGAAACTGGCATCTGTCTACATCTGCAACTAATTAAAGTGCGATAGTGGAGTAGTGGCTGGGGTAAGTTGTGTCTGTTTCCAAAGTCTGCCTGCCTTAGTAGTAGCATCCAGTCTGTATGCTCTATTAAAACAACATGCCATCATGCTTATATCATCCCATCATGTAGTATATATGGCTGTTATAACTAGCAATAGTGTTTTACTGAAGCCAGACTCTTGAGTAGTTAAACGTTTCTTTGGAGTGTGTACTCTCCCCTACCACCTCTATGTCTCTCTGAATGCTATGCTCAGCTACTGAGTGACAATTGCTCTTTTTAATTTTTTTAATTAATTTTTAAAAATACAACATAACATTACACATACCATCCACACAAATTACATATAAAAATAATAACACAAAAACGTTGTGCTTCCTTCACCCTGCCAGTTGTTCTTTTTCAAAGATGCATTTTAAAGTTGCTTTCCTTGGGGAGGTTGATGGAAATAAATGGCTTCACAAGGTTCTGCTTTCCTTCCCTGGAAATTATTATTACTGTTCCACTACCTCTGACATTCATTGGTTGCCTTTGCATATCTAGCCAAAGTAGCAGCATCTACTCACAAGAGGGGATGTACCAGCAGTCTTAGGGACAGAGCTTGAAAGTAAATAATGAAGAGGAGAGTCCAGCAAGTAACATAATGAGTTTCTTTTACAGTAACATTCCAAGTTCTGTTGTTGAAGTTTCAGAGTTTGCAGAATTACAAAAGCATCAGTAAAGTACTTAAAGAGTGGGGGAGACATACACCCAGCATCCCAGTGAGGACTGAGTATCTTTGAAGGCCATGGAAATCTCACTCACTGGGTTTAGGGGGAAAGAAAAACAGAGTTGGGGAGTGAATTGAATAGAATATAGGAGAGACAGAAGAGAATTGACTGCAATAGTAAATGTGATAAACCCCACGTATAGCTTATACCAAAAAGAGAATGGAGTGAAGCATCTGTGAGTAGTACTTCTTGAGTGATGTGACTTTTCCCCCCTTCAGGTCTGCTAAGAGTGATCTCTGGTGTCCTTCAGCTTGGGAATATTGTCTTCAAGAAGGAGCGTAACACAGATCAGGCTTCTATGCCAGACAATACAGGTAAAGCTTTTCCTCCTGGGTGGGGGATGGAAAACAATGTTTCTCTTCCTCAGAACAGTTCAAGACTTAAACATTATGTGTACTTATAAACATATCTAAATGGAAGCATCTGTTAATGGGCTTGGTGGAGGCAGGTACACAGCTATATCTCTAGTGGCTTTTTGACATAAGCTGGATGCCAGCACTATGTTGTAGCTGCTGAGGTTATGAGCAGTCAGTGGTGTTGCCTCCTGGTGGCAGACATGTAATCTACATGTAAATATTGGTTCTTCCAGGGTCTGATTGCAACCACCTCTGAATAGGCACATGTAATTCCTCCTGCTATGGCATTAAGGAAGGGAGGGGAAGGGAATAAGATGTGGAGAGAGAAAAAAGAGGGGTCAGGTTTGATGTGATCTGGAAGAAAAGATACTGAAGAGACATGGAAGAAAGAGAGAGGAAAACCAATAGACTGGACATCAGAAAGCAGAGGAAGACCGAACTTGGTAACAGAAGGAATAGAAAAAAGCTGCTTAAAATGGATTGACTGCTATTCATCAATGATACAGATTTGACACTGTTACCATGTAACAAACAGCTTTGTGGACTGGGGCGCTGAGATTGGTGGGATTTGTTTGTTCCTTAATCTATATGATGCAATTTCTCTACCGTTTCTCTTTCGTGGCTTAGTACTTGGTGTGTTATACACGTATTATATCAGGATGAAGGTGAAGGAGAGAACAACAATTCTTTGTCATGAGAATTGAAATGTGAATTTGTACCTGAGGCTATTTATAGAACATGGTCTTGCTTTGAGTTTAGGGATGAGACACATTGAGGTGGTATTAGTTTAAATGTCACTCTTGGACTTAAATGCAGATGTGAAATTCTTGATTTGCGGGATTTATACTTTAGCAGGTCCTTGGAGTTTCTGAATTTTTTTTTCTGGTATTGATTATCAAATACAATACCAGTAATTTCAAGCAAGGGGGGGGATGCTAACTCTTGATTCGTAGCTGGGTCTTAATTAGAGATGGGGATATTCGTATTCGTAGATGAATACCTTTCCACAGGTGGAAATAAAGTATGGGGGTATTCGTATTCGTAGATGAACACCTTTCCACAGGTGGAAATAAAGAGAGTCCAGCCCCATGGAGCCAGACCGTCCACTCACCATTCGGCTACTGCCGCTGGTGCAGCGGCATCTTCCTATCACGCTGTGCTCCGCAGTGGATTAGTCATTGTGCAACCTGGCAGAGAAGCTTGTCATCCCGCCTCCAACCAGGAGTGGCTCATCCATTGTGGAGCACAGCGTGATAGGAAGATGCCGCTGCGCCCGCGGCAGTGGCTGAATGATGAGTGGACGGTCCGGCTCCATGGGGCCAGACCCTTGTTATTTCCACCTGTGGGGAGATATTCCTGTTCGTCTATGAATACCCCCATCTCTTGTCTTAATATCAGATAGAATTGCAGCTGTTTGTATGGGGCCGGACCCTTGTTATTTCCACCTGCAGGGAGATATTCCTGTTCGTCTACGAATACCCCATCTCTTGTCTTAATATTTGATTGAATTGAAGCTGTTTGCTTATCTGTTCTGTGCAAGAACTTAATGTACATAATAGATATAAAACAAGAATGTGCAAAGGACATTTTTGCCCTTCTGCAACTGATTCAATGTACAATCTACATTCTATAAATGATTACAAAATGCATAGAGCCACCAGTGGCTGTTCATGTTCATAGCATTGTGACAAGCTAACTTGTATTCATGCTCTTAAAAGACCTTGTCTTGAAATTCTTGAAATTTTAGGGCTTAACCCTTCTTTCATACCTTGATACTGGGCCTTCGAATCAAGAGATCTCTTCACTCACCTTTATGTCTGGTAGTGAAAACAATTCTTCTCCAAAAAGCGTTGCATTTAATATATGCCCTTTCATCCATGATGGAACTCCAATTGAAATATGGTAAATGGGTAGTTTTCTGTTCTGGTGGTGATGCTAACTGGACTTGAACTTACTTGATTTCAGCAAGGTGACTGTATCCTTTGGTTTTACACCAGGGGTAGATGGGCTTGGGGACCATTTTTTGCCCTCTCCACCACCCTGTTGTGGCCCCCACTAGGCCTGGAAATTTTCAGCCTTTTAAAATAAAAGAGATGGAAATAAGAAAGCACTTTCGGCTTCTCTTTCTTTTCCTTTGGGATTTCATGATGGTGATAGGCCTTAGGGGACTCCCAAGGTCCTCAATGGAGAAATGTTTTCAGGAGTGGAAAAATATTTTCAGGTGGCCTAGGTGTGCTATTGGAAAGTTGTTGGCTTCTCAAGGAACAGCTTGCTAAAAATTCCCTTTCCACAGTATAATGAAAGAAATAAAGCTACTAATTTTTTCCTTTTTCTTCTTTTTCTTTTTAGCTGCTCAGAAAGTTTCTCATCTTTTGGGTATCAACGTGACAGACTTCACTAGAGGAATTCTCACTCCTCGAATCAAAGTTGGCCGGGATTATGTCCAAAAAGCACAGACTAAAGAGCAAGTATGTATTGTATATGATTGTAAAAAACTGAAGTAAAAAAAGCCATATTGTGAAAAAAATAAGCCACACGGAACTGTAACATATTCAAATGCAAACAGAGAGTGTGAGTTTAGTCAGCACCTAGAACCCTTCAGTAATGTTTCTGAAGAAAGCAGCATGAGTTGCTTCATCACAAGCTCCTGCTGCAATCTTAGAGCAGAGAGGAGAACCTACAGGTCATAAATTAAGCCTTGCTTGTGGGGGTTCCCCATCTGTCCTGTGGGGGTTCCCTGCAGGACCTCCCTCCCTCAGCTAGAAAAAGGCTGCCTAGCAGATGAAACATACATCTTTTTCACTGATCGGATGTCAACGTTGGGATTCCTAGTATTAGAACTGAACTTGAATTAGAATGATATTGGGGAACGAAGCTAGAAAGATATATTGGGCGAAATTCTGTGCCTGGGCTAGATTCAGTTCCCAAATTTTTTACTACAGTGCCTGCTTCCAGGCTATGGAACTCTTTTCTGAGCGAAGCTAAAGGTGTTTTTGTTTAGAGAGTGGCTGATGGTGGAAGGTCTTTCAGTTGTGGTCATGATTTTTGGTTGATGGCTGAATATTTGTAAGTTGCATTAATCTAGTGTTTTAATGTCATAATCCATTTAATATGTTTTAATACTGTAATGTACTGTGTATTTTAATAACCCTGGATCTTCAGATTTGTGTTGTGAGCCTTTTTGCATCTAGGAATGGAGAGAAATGGGATGTATATTAAATGAATTGGTAGCAACAATAATAATAAATATGCGGGAAGGTGTTTAAGTCTTTGAGTCTTGAATTGCCCACTGATTTTAACTAGTTAAATTATTTGAAGTTCCAGGTGGTAGCAATTAGGAATGATATCTGCTTTCTTGAAAGGTACAACTCTAGTGTCCATTCACACGTACACTCAAACAAAATTCTGAGTTCATATTCCTGCTAGCATGGATCACTTGAACTTCTCAAGATGAAAATTGATAAATAAGCAAGTTCAACAGGCTGTCCTTGACTTCCCATTGAACGTGATTGAGGAAAAATGAAGAAAATAAATAGATCATACTGCAGATTATGATTTTCATTGGTTAGTCCTTTCAAGGAATTGATGCTTTAAAAAGAAAGAGCCAGAAGACCACAGGGGATATCGGAAAGGACTGGAAATTACCCAGGAACTCTTAAGAACTGTTACATTGTTTTCTTTCCTCTCTGGTTTGAACACCTCACACCAATTTTGCAACTTTTCAGGCTGACTTTGCCATTGAGGCTTTGGCCAAAGCCACTTATGAACGCATGTTCCGCTGGCTGGTGATGCGCATCAACAAGGCCTTGGATAAGACAAAGAGACAAGGAGCATCTTTCATAGGCATCCTTGACATTGCTGGCTTTGAAATCTTTGAAGTAAGTAAAATAGTACCTCTTCCAGTTACAGCATGTAGTAATTGTAACATGAATGAAATTTTGCTGATCCTTAGCAGATAGAAATAAATTTTGTAAAAGTTTGGCTGAAATAACTTAAGCTCTGTAGAGGAAGAAAATGGTAAAAAGTTAAATATGCTAAATATAATTGTCTGCCTTTGCATATGTGTACATGCAGGCATACACATTCAGAAATCTGAATTTGGGTTGGATGAAGCAGGAAGCTGGTGTTAGAATTGTGTCCATTTTTAGAAGGGGAGTACAGCTGATGTTGTTGCTTAGGGAAGAGGAAAAGGCTGCCAGTAGTATTGTCATGATAGAATTAATGAAGGGGGCTGGGTGTATCATCTTTAACTTCAGTGGGGAATAAGATTCTGGGGCCAAGAATCTTGCAGTTTCGCTTGGTGCTAAATGAGGAGCTCCACTTGTGTTGTAGACCTTTCTATTTCACCCCAGAACTCTGTCAGGAAGAGAGTCCCTCAGATCTTGTTCCTCTAGGTTGAAGTCCTCTTTCCCATACAGAAGAGCCCTTGATTGCCTTTGAGGATAGCAGTTGCTTCTTGATGTCGACCTAAAGCTACAACAAGGACAGAGATCTTTTGAAGCAAAACATGAATGTATTTCAGATTAAAACTGAAGGCAGAGTTCCCAACACTTTTCTGAAAGATAGCATTTTCTGTGCTAGGCTTAATATTCTGGTATTAGTATATTTGTAACACTTAAAAAAATCCAAAATGACTGTTCTGTTCTGACATGAAAATATTTAAACTCTAACATAGTTTCTCTCATCAATACTCATTTTGTCTGCAAAGCAAAAACTTGCATCCTTGATCAGTGAAAGGTAGAAAGTTAAAGACAGAAGGCTATTTTATTCAGACTACTTCCTGTTGAGCTGCCTCTACTTATTGCAGTGTGCTGTTCCAAGGGCTGGTCCAAGTGTCTCTATGTACATAAATTTTATACTGTTACTGGAGGTAACAGAGAACCTGTAGCAGAAGAGATTAATAGTGTTTAGTTGCCCAGTTACTAGTTAACACCACCTGGCAAGCAGTAACCAGGAATTATAGTCTTTGTTTTTCTCTCCTGAAATAGCTGAATTCATTCGAACAGTTATGCATTAACTATACAAATGAGAAGCTGCAACAGCTCTTCAACCACACTATGTTTATCTTGGAGCAAGAAGAATACCAGCGTGAGGGCATTGAATGGAATTTCATTGACTTTGGCTTGGATCTGCAGCCCTGCATTGATCTTATAGAAAAACCGGTGAGTGATGTATTTTAAAGCAGAGAATAGCCACAGTACTAAGTTCAGCGAATCATCTGCATGCCTGTTGATGCACGTGAGGCAGCTATGGTCAGCTTGTAGGAAAGGTGGGATGCAAATGAACAGGTTGCAGGAAGTCTCATTGTAAAATATTTGTAGTATAATATAAATATATATATATATATATTTAAAAGGACACAAGAAATGGAAGTGCTGAGTAACTGCTTCCTACTTGTCCAGAATGGTGATTGTATCTGACAAGCTAGACTAGTTGCTGTCTTCTCCTGTATTTTCCTTATATGCCTTGCTTTTTAGTAGAAGGGCTGACTCTGCCCTTTTCTCCCTCTCACCCAATAGGCGGGTCCTCCAGGGATACTTGCTCTGCTGGATGAGGAGTGTTGGTTCCCAAAGGCTACTGATAAAAGCTTTGTGGAAAAGGTGGTACAGGAGCAGGGTACACACCCTAAATTCCAGAAACCCAAACAACTGAAAGACAAAGCGGACTTCTGCATTATACACTATGCTGGAAAGGTAAGCTCTCAAAATGATCCCATGAAGGGAAAGCAAGTAATGCTATTAAATTCTCAGCAATTCAGTTTAACCGGATCATTTAAATAAGTAGTATGGTCCTGTATCCTCTAGTAGGAGAGGAGGCTCTTACTTCCATAAAATTCTTGTTGTACAGTTGTGCTGCAGCACAAACAGCTGGCTGTGTGTCCTGATATTCCCCACCCTGGCAAATGGAGGACATGTTTGTAAAACTTTTGAGTTTGGGATAATTCACACAAGCTTCAGCACTTTGTCCCATGGAAGAGAAGTGCAAATGTACCCTCATGTCCTACTTACAATACTGAAACAAAATTCATAATTTGTAATTAACATTGGTGACAAATTCCCTCTCTAGGTTGATTATAAAGCAGATGAGTGGCTGATGAAGAACATGGATCCCCTCAATGATAATGTGGCTACCCTGCTACACCAGTCCTCAGATAAATTTGTGTCTGAATTGTGGAAAGATGGTATGGAACCAAATTTCTTGCCTATTTCTTACCCGGTATCTTCAAGCTCCTGACACAGTTGTATTGTTTCCTTTAACATTACAGTGGTCAGCATGAGCCAAAACTTGTGTGTGTATGTGTAACTTTTATTTTGAATGTTATGTTTCTCATGTTCCTGAAAATAAGGAAGACTGGATATGGTCTAGCTATTAGGCAGCATCCCAGAATAACTGCCAAACAGTTATTCACTATAGCTTTCCAAGTCCCAATATGGGATTTCATGAGGGGAAGTCAGATCTTGCCTCAAAAGGACCCTTTCTGCTTGCTCCAACCATTAGGTGTCTTGCACTTTGGATTATTTGTTGCTTTAAATCTTACTGTTACTATCTCTTTTCTTGGGTTTTTCTTTGACGTCTCTGTTGCAGAGATGCAGAACGTTCAGAGAGCCTATTTCTATCAACATTTTCCTATTCTTCATCTAGAACCAGGTGACTGAGAAACCCGGGTGTTGTGTCGTGTCATGTGATTCCTTCTAGAACCATGCAAGAAATGCTTCCATTAATTCTTATATTCCCTTTACTGTTCCTGCTTGTCTGTCTCATCCAGTCCCTCTGCTTTTTGCTAGTAGATCCTCTTGGACTTGGAAAAACGGATCTTTTTAACAAAGTGTGATCACACAGGTACAGCAGCAGGAAACACATGGATGGTTTTGGTTTAAGAGCGTATAAGAATCCCCATATTAACATTTTACCTTACATATAAATCAAGTGGAAATAGCTTCTGAGATAAAATGGTTATTTGGAAAATAACCATTGGAAAAGTGTCCTCTCAGGTCATGAAAAGAAGATAAACTATCTTGCATATAACACTCTGTGTCTAGTCTGGTAGATGAGGTACAACAGTTAAGCTTGCTAGTGGGTAACAGTGAGTTATTTTTCCATCAAAAAGGTACAGTGGATGACCCTTGTGGAAGTTTCTAGTATGAGAAATGATATATTCCCTTCCTTTTGTGCAGAGTGGAGGCAATTCATTTTCATCTCTTTTGAAGAGGATTTGTTAGCCAGCATCTAAGAAGATTTATTAATGCTTTTTTGTTCTGTCACATTCATTACTGTAATGGTTACCTCAAAATCAATAGTGTCTCCATTGAACAGCTTCTTTGGAGAAAGAATACACATCCTGATTCTTAACTATGTAGCACAAGTACATTTTATTCTTTCAGTCCCTAATGCAGTCCTGCTTTGGGCAAGTTAAAGGGCTTCCTTTTGAGAGCCATCTTTGATTTTAGAAAGCTTTAAGACATGGTGGTTTAGATATGAGAGAGAGAGACTTGCATCAGAACGTTGTGTTGTTTTTAGCTTGTCCTGATCCAAAAGGTTCAGGCTGATACCATGATCACCATAAGGACTCATTTTGAGTTCCCTTTCACCATTGCAGTAGTCTATAGGAAACAGTTCTGTTTATCATTTTATGTATTGTATTCTGGTATGTGGCCATTAGGGGAAATAAAACTGAACAAAGGCCCAATTGTCATTGGCACTGTGAAATTGAGGTAACATAAATGCTGATGTCCCGTGCTTTCTTTGTTCAGCCAGTCTATACATGCTAATGCTGGTATATTTGGACATCCTATATGTTATGTTACATGGGATATACGGTGAACAGTCTATAATCTGCTAATAATTTAGGGATGTTGCCAACTTTTATGCTGCAAAAAATATTTTTAAGATAATACTGGATTTTGTGGTCTTATCCTTCTTAACCCTTGAGCACACTGATTTCTTACCAACATCCATATAGAATATCCCCTCAGCTTGCCTAGTGTCTGCCATAACTTTGACCTACATGATATACCGTGTTTCCCCGAAAATAAGATAGGGTCTTATATTAATTTTTGCTCCAAAAATGCAGTAGGGCTTATTTTCAGGGGATGTTTTATTTTTTTTCATGGTCAACAATCTATCTATTCAAATACAGTCATGCCATCTTCTTCTGGTTGCTGCACAATGGTGGAGGGCAGGGTTTCACTTAACTGGGGCTTATTTTTGGGATAGGGCTTATATTAGGAGCATCCTGAAAAATCATACTAGGGCTTATTTTCAGGTTAGGGCTTATTTTCGGGTAAACAGGGTACCATTAGTTTAATGAGGTGCATGCAACGAAAAAAAGTTTTGGACCAAATCTCTAATGGTTATCCTTATGTGAAGAAATCACCATGTTCTCAGTAGATAGCCAGGAGAAAGATAGAGGGGATATCTTGTCTAAACTAAACCTGTTGTGCCAGCTGTACTTTACTCCTAGGCATAAAAATGCTATTAAAATTGCCGTCTGGATCTGTCAGGCATGGGATGGATCCTAGCTTTAGTAGTCAGTGGCTGCTTTCTTCCCTTCTTATTGTTGTCTTAATACAAAAGATGAACGGGACTTCTGCATCTGTAGTAAGATGAAGCAAATGGATCCTGCAAATTCCTTTTCTGTCCTTGCTTTATCCACAAAAATTGTTTGTGTCTCAGTGCTGTGGTGACAGACTATCTAACCCTCCTGCACATTTCTTTTAGTTGATCGCATAGTTGGGCTGGATCAGGTTGCTGGCATGTCAGATTCTGCATTGCCTGGAGCCTTCAAGACCAGGAAGGGCATGTTCCGCACAGTAGGACAGCTGTACAAAGAACAACTTGCCAAGCTGATGGCCACCCTGAGGAACACTAACCCAAACTTTGTCCGTTGCATCATCCCCAACCATGAGAAGAAGGTACTTCAATCCCTTGCATATAAACAATGGTGCTGCCATTTACCCAGGTCTAGGAAACGGGAATGGGCATACCTCGTGGGTTTGAGGGCCAACTTTCTGCCTGTAGGACCCTCCTGGGGCTGCACAGAAAGCTAAGAATGTCAGAACACACACACACACTCAAGAACTCAAAAGTGGCTAGAGGTTGCCTTAGTTTGGAAAAAATGTTATTTCTGAGTGTTAACGTGGTGCACAGGGATCCTGGCAGCTTCAAGGAGCTACAATTTTGTCAGAAAATGAGGAGATCACAGAAGGCAGGGGAACAATGCAGAAACAGACATGGGGTGTTGCATTTGCCACTTTTGCTTACATTAGCTGGTTGGTGACAAAGAGTTTTTTTTTTTTTTACAGACTTTCTCCATCCTCAACATTGTTACCCTAAGTCTGGCTTGGCTTTGGCTTTAGTTCATGTTTTTAACAGCCCTTGGATATATGCTTGGTTTTCCTGTTATATGGGAATTTGTAAAAATAAAACAACAATAATTTTAAAAATCAGTTTTGTTTGGAGCACTTAGGGCATTATCTTCTATACATGTATTTGGAGCCAGGCTTACAGATTTTCCTAACAGGAAACTCTTGATTTCTAAAAGATGTCTGCTAAGATTAGCAGTTATCAAAAATAAAAACCAAAGACCAAAATGCAATTTTTTCCCCCAAGAACAGAACTTGATCCGAAATCATAGGATTATAATGTTGTGTTGCGAGGGATACCAAGGGCCATGTAGCCCAACCCCACAACAGAGTGGGAACCCACAGATAACCCCCCATCATAGCCATCAAACCTGTTTCAAAATCTGCATGAAAAAGGTTTTCCTGTAGCCATGCCTGGTCTCATATAAACCAGTACATGGCCAGGCCTGGGCTACAGCCCCCCCTCCTCAGCTTGTGGACCCAGGATTCTACAGTTTGAATTCCCTCTGTTTCTTTTGAGAGAGGGGCAAGTTGAGATTATCTAGATGTCAGAGCATTGCTGCTTGTCTGGCATAGTGTTATGTGTAGCTGACATGGTTATATGTTATATGCTGTGACCCTGGACAAGGTTTAAAGTCCCAGAGTACCTGCAGAAGGAGGGGCAGGTAAACCATTTCTGAGTACTGTACCTTATACCTAAAAAGCTGTGGGAGGTCTCAGCTGGTCGCTATCCTGGGAAGATTCAAGTTCCCAAACACACTGAGTTAGGCCAGAGTAAATATTTTATTCTCCAGCCTTGTCGCTTCAGTTAATACTTCTTCTACTGGTTCATTTTGAATCCCTTGATGTTCTTGTGCATTTTTTATTATTCTCTAATATTTACACTAATTTACCAAAAAAAATTTAATCAAGAAAAAACGTTTTGCTAAATTAGTGTAAATATTAGAGAATTCAAGGTCATGTCTATTTTAAAAACCCAGTTATGTTGTGATTAGGTTTTGTGATTGGTAGAAGGTAGTGCCTTTAAAGTATTTTTCTTCCTTTACTTTGCAGGTTAAAAATGTAAGTGACAGTCTGGAAATTTTCTACAAAGTTCTTTATAGTAACAATTTAACTGCTTTTATATAATTTGAGGAAACTATTGCGGCATTTGGCTATTTCCATATACAGTATATCCCTGATTTATTTATTATAAAAGGAAATGTCACTGTAAATCTCTCTCCCCCCACTACTTTGGTTTTAAATTTTGCTAATTTGAGTTGATGTGTACACTTTTCTGCCTTGGCTGTATTCCCTAACTCCTTGTTCTGGGGGTGACAGGTTAGAAACGGTAGATTCCTGATATTTATTTATTGCCTTGTGTGCTGTTATCATTATGAATGCTATTAATTTTTAACTCTTATTCAGTGCTCCTCTTCAAAAGCCAATCCCCACCCCCCATAGTACATACTACCTTCAACCAATCTAGGCATTTTAAGTATGAACAACAGTGGCCAAGGTTGTCTTCTCTAGGAAAGGATGCAACAGGTACACCACCGATCTGGGTGTCTGGAAGCATGTACACAGACTTTAATAGCTTGCTTTTCCTTCATAGGCTGGGAAACTGGACCCACACTTAGTCTTGGATCAGCTTCGTTGCAATGGAGTATTGGAGGGAATCCGAATCTGCAGGCAAGGTTTTCCCAACAGGGTTGTCTTCCAGGAGTTCAGACAACGGTAAGAGTGAATTGTGGCTTCAGTCTGGGCATTGAATGCTCTTAGCTTTTCAGGTCTTCACACTGTGAAATAAATTACTTTATGCCAGTCAGAAATCTAAGCCTAATAAGCAATTGTGTTGTTTTGTGTCATTAAGTCAGAACTGACTCACAGTGACCCTAATAGAGTCAAGGTAATAGTATCAAGGTAGATTAAATACTGGATATTTAAGGAGGGGTTTTACCAATTCAGGGTCAGAAGACCAGCAGTCGTAAGATCGAATCCACGCGACGGAGTGAGCTCCCGTCACTTCTCCCAGCTCCCGCCAACCTAGCGGTTCGAAAGCATGCAAATGCAAGTAGATAAATAGGGACCACCTCGGTGGGAAGGTAACAGCGTTCCGTGTCTTAGTCGCACTGGCCATGTGACCATGGAAGATTGTCTTCGGACAAAAACGCTGGCTCTATGGCTTGAAGAGCGGGATGAGCGCCGCCCCCTAGAGTCGAACACGACTGGACAAAAATTGTCAAGGGGAACCTTTACCTTTACCTTTACCTTTACCAATTCTATGCCCCTAGTGAGTTTCCATGGCTGAGCAAGTATTCACACCCAGGCCTCCAGAGTCTTAGTCCATAGCTCTATTCTCTACCCCATGCTGGGTATCCAAAAGTGTGATGCCAAGCCATTTCTTACATATGGTGACCCTTTTCAGGGTTTTCAAGGTAGAGAACACTGAGAAGTAGTTTACCATTCCCTTCTTCTGGGGATATCCTGGGTCTTTGCAGCTTGTCCAAGGCTCCATAGGCTGGCTCATCTCCTGCGATGCACAGTGGGGACCCAACCTCTGGCTCCACAACCACAAACCGAACTTACCAAACTGTCCAACCTGCTCCCTTATAAGGTGACTTGAATACTGTATAGGGCTTAGCAGGGTACAGATGCACTGTCAGAGTGATTTTTCTGGTGAATGTTCATCACATTCTTTTCTTGTTAGTTTGTTTTTTGTCTCAGTTGACAGGCAATACCACATTTAACATCCAGTTGCCTGCCTCTCCTCTCCCTATCCAATGTATTAAGACTGGTTTTGATATTCTTTTTGATAACAGCAGTTCTGATACAGGATTGTAACCATGACACTCTTGATGAAAAAAGCAAATGTACTCCCTTTATTCCAGATTTCTACTAGTTGTTTGAAAGACTGGCTATAAATAACTCTAAAATTTTAAAAAAAACTTCTATTACTCGACTATTCCTATAATTTCTGTCATAAAAATGATGTACAAGGTAGTGACAAAATGATATTTTTCTAGATATGAAATCCTGACTCCAAATGCTATTCCAAAAGGGTTCATGGATGGAAAGCAAGCCTGTGTGTTGATGGTAAGTTTCACGTTCCAGCTGCTGAGAACATGAAACAAAAGGAAGTGGCTAAATCCAGTCCTTCACTGGACAGAATACACTGTAAACTTGAATTAGGGAAACATTTGATGCCTTGCAGAAAATCACACTCTATTAATGACACCTGTTGGGTACTAGTTTATTGACGATGTACCACTTCTGTAGATACAGAATATTATTCGAAACATGCTGTAATTTCAAGATTGAACTGGTATGCATCTGCCTTCACTATGGACTGTTATTTCTGCCTTTTCATGAGCATGATTTAGGACATTTTTTCCTCATTACCTCTAGTAATGCAGACTTCAGAATACACATGTTTTAAAAATGAACCTTGAGTGCTGTTTATACAGGTTGGCCTCAATAGGGTCAAATTATTTTTTGATCCTTTTAAATATTTGTATACCCACTGTCTTTCGTTTCTGCATATTGTCTTTCTAATTATTTAAGTCTCCTTGGGTTCTTTAAGGAGACATGTGAGATAAAAATATTTTAAATAAATAAAATATAATAAAATAGGAAAACTCTATAACAATGATCTGATGGATCCTGAATGTATGTTTGTCTTGCCATGTGATGTCCTCAGTATCTCATAGATTTTATTTGTTCTTCCTAATATCCCCCATGGCTTTAAGCAAATGTGGAGGGGTTTGCAAACATAAGATACCTTGAGACATTTATTTCAGTTTTAAATATGCTCTTTACCTTTTCAGATCAAAGCCTTAGAACTGGACCCAAACCTTTACCGAATTGGACAGAGCAAAGTGTTTTTCCGAGCAGGTGTCCTTGCCCACCTTGAAGAGGAAAGAGACTTGAAAATCACAGATGTCATTATTGGATTCCAAGCATGCTGTAGAGGCTATTTGGCTAGAAAGTATGTGAAAAGCAATATGTATTCATTCTGCATTAGCTAGAATGGGAAAAAATAAGTGGAATTCTGAACTTCAGATAGATCACATGTTATCTTTTGCTCTGGATCATAGTTTATATATAAAATGCAAGATGCTTGCAGGGTGAAAGGTCAGAGCATCAAGGTGCTGAGTTGGCCAAAATCCTCTTGTCTCATGGCAAGGCAGCTGTTTCAAATGAAAGTGCAATGCTGTCACACAATTAACAATTTATAAGCTTAAACTCTTGCTGAAGTTACTGCAGATGAAGGGTTATAACACTGTAATTGTATTGGGCAGAAATACAAGTACCATTTCTTCTGCACAGAAGGCATGAAGCCAGTAAGAAAAGATCAGGTTGGTTTGAGAAGGTTATGGCATTAATCATGATGGGGGTCATTCAGACTATTTGGTGGAACAAACATAGAGACAGAACTTTTACATGCAGAGAGATAAAGAACAAGGGAAAGAAATTGAGAACAAAGTTTGGGTAGGAAACAAGTAATGTTATGGGGTGGAGGGAGCACATCAGAGCCTTCCCCATGCTTGTCATTCTTCAGAAGCTTCAAGGCCTGTAATTCTTCTCTGATTGCCCTTCTCTCTCTTTCACTGCTGCCATCACAGAGCTTTTGCGAAGCGCCAGCAGCAACTGACGGCAATGAAGGTACTCCAAAGAAATTGTGCTGCCTACCTGAAGCTTCGCAACTGGCAGTGGTGGAGACTCTTTACAAAGGTACTGGCTGGGGAAAGATACAGTTAGAGAAAGCTGAGCATAAGGATGTAACTCCCCCCCCCCAAAAAAAAGAGATGGAGCAGAGACAGTTTGGACTCTGAGAGGCCCAGTCAGCATTGCCAATAGTAATAAATTATGGGAGCTGTTGCCCAAAAAATCTGGACAAGCATATGCTCCCCATCCATGCCCTGGTTGAAAGGACCTTGTGGAGTAACTTGCTGCCAAAATTGACTTGCCACAGGTGAAGCCTTTGCTGCAAGTGAGCCGCCAAGAGGAGGAGATGCTGGCCAAGGAAGAAGAATTGATGAAAGTGAAGGAAAAACAGGTGGCTGCTGAAAACAGAGTGATTGAAATGGAAGCGCTCCAGACACAGGTGAGTAGAGACTTGTCCACCAGAGAAAAGGATGGTCAGCTTTTCGATGCTTTTACATAGCTGAAGAGTACTATAGTTGAAGCTGACTTGAAACAGTATTTTGGGAAGCATCAAAGTAATCCACTAGGTGACAATTTGCAGCATGCATTAAATCTTTCTGAGTGGAACACCTCAAAATAAGGGTGCACAGTCCTTCCAGCCTGGAAAAGTGTATCAGTGTTGGCTGGAGGAAAGGGTGACTCACACAAAAATGCACACGTATATGTGTTCTCTCCCCTCCTCCTCCCTCCTACCCATCTCACCATTCTCCATCCCCTAGCAGTTTCCATGGGATTCATGGTGTTTCACTTACCTTGAGGGCAGCCTGTAGTCTCAGACCCAGTTTATGCATCTCTGCCTTGGAGCATATGTATCCATGAAGGTTTTACTTGCTGTGGACAAATAAATGGTTTCTTAAAAGGATTAGCAGCACAATCTTATACATTACTTGTTCAGAAGTAAATTTGGAGCTGACCTCCAGATAAGAGTATATAGGACTTGGCGTCTGAGTTGAGGCTGGAATCTAAACTTTCTAACAGCAAATACAGAAGTTGCAAGATGCTTTTCATTACATTCATTGATAACATGTTATCATTCGTATAGACTTCCACATGGAATTATCTATGCCTTTTAACATTCATCCAGTGTGTGAATAAAATCACTGTCTAGTGCATCTTTAACAGGACAATAAAGCTTCAAATGGAACTTGAAACATACGTTCTTGTCTTGTGCAGCTCATGGCAGAGAAGATGCAGTTGCAAGAGCAGTTGCAAGCAGAGATAGAGCTCTGTGCTGAGGCGGAGGAGATCAGGGTCCGCCTAACCAACAAAAAGCAGGAGCTGGAAGACATATGCCATGATTTGGAGGCAAGAGTGGAGGAAGAGGAGGAGCGGTGCCAGCAGCTCCAAGCTGAGAAAAAGAAAATGCACCAGAATATCCAGGTAATGAGCAGAACAAGGTTGTGCTTACAATGCGATATACTACAGGACAGATACAGTTGGGTAGATGTGTAGGGATTGGGACAGTAGGAACTCTAGAAGAGGGAGGAAAATTTGGTTGATGTAAATGGAATGCAGAAGCCACCTTAATCTGTGTTTGCTATTCCTCCTCTATACACTACTGAACTGCCAAAATTCAAACATAGCTTCCTTATGACAGTAGAAAGTTAGGCGACTTGTGTTCTAACCAGATTGCTGGATACCTTGTATTTGTGTGTGTTCAGGAGCTTGAAGAGCAGTTGGAAGAAGAGGAAAGTGCCAGGCAGAAGCTACAGCTGGAGAAAGTAACCACTGAAGCCAAGCTAAAAAAGCTGGAGGAAGACCTGATGGTTCTTGAAGATCAGAACTCCAAATTTGCCAAGGTAAGGCAGAAAGCAATTTCTTCTCTGATGGAAGAGAAGAGTATATAGGTCCCATAGCTTCCACTGTGGGTAAAGGGACTCTTTGTTATCTGCTGGCTTCTTTTTCAGCAGGAATTCAGCAAGGAGGAGATGGCAACATCAGTTTAAGGGCCAGTTTCAAAAATTCAGCAAGGAGGAGATGGCAACATCAGCAGTTTAAGGGCCAGTTTCAACCAGCTCCCATGAATATGCTATATCCCACCTACTGTACAGAAATCCAGCAGCATAAGAACAACTCGGAGTGAAAATAAACCTCACTTTGAGTTTATCTAAACTGCATTTCTGATTAAAACAAAGCATGGGGAGTGTGCACCTTGTTTGAGAGGGCAATTACAGCTCTCTAAGGAAAACTCTGAAATTATTCTGAAACAAGATGTGGGGGGCTGCCCACTGTGACAAATGTGGAGTTCTAATGCTGTTATGCTGAAAGTCTTTGGACATGCTGGGACCACAGACTTTGTACTGCCTGCTCTTGTGCAGGCGCATGGTAGCGTCACACTGCAGAGATTACGGTAAATACCATGCTTTACATGAAGCAGTTGACCCTTCCTAATTGATTCTGTAATTTTGGCTGAGTAGACATATTTTTAAAATATTTGACAGAATACAAATATTTAGGAAATGGAATTTTTTTTCTTTGATTTGCACCTTCAACTAGATTAGCCACCTTTTTTTTCTTGATCAAGCTATTTGTCTGGAAAACAAGTTTTGGTATAGTCTAGTTGGAAAACACAATAGCGGTATACTGAGTTCTGTAACAAGACATGACAATGCAAACCCATTCTGAAGAAATACCTGTTGAAGGACTGGAGAAAATCAGAATCCTTTATTTTACTCAAACCTAAACTCTTGGACTGCAAGGCAGAATTTCTTCATATATAATTCCTTGAAAAATTAATCTTAATGTGGTACCTTTTCTGTGTTGAGGTGATTATTGCCATCTTTATAGGTCTTCAAATACAAAGAATGCCCAGAGCCTAGTTGTGTACTTAGAGCAATAGAAGTCAAGCAATATAAATTGCAGCAACCAATAGCCACTAGTTAAGAAGTCAGCACTTGTGTGTAACTGATGCAGCTACCAAGAAATACATGTGTCAACATCTTAATTAGCAGCATTTTACCCTTGCAGTTTGCTTTATGCTGGAAGACATAAGAGCTTTCTGCCCAAAAGCCTATAGAGTTGTCCTTGGCTCCTTCTCCTTAGGTTGCATACATCATTAAGAACATTGTGCTCTGTTGTTTTAAATGTCTTTTAGTGTTGATTTTATTTACTGTTTTCAATGTAATCGTTGTTTAATTCTTTTTAAATATTTGTATACCTACTGCTTTTAGCTTTTAAAAATTATTTTTTTTAATGATGTAAGCTGCCTTGGGTCCTTTTTAAGGAGAAAGGCAGGATAAAAATATTTTAAATAAATAAATCTACAGGAGGAGAGGAGTAATTATAGCTACATCTGACCTCTTGATACCACAGTACTAAATTTAAAGGAATGGCTATTTTAATATGCACATCCAGATGATGGTGGTTCATATTATGTGGGCACATTGACTCCCAGTGGAAAAAGTAGAGATATATTTAGTGGGCCCTTTTGCTTGATCTTATTCTGATGAGTTTTAAAACTAGAACTTGGCATTATGAAAACAAGGAAACAACAGTGTGCCAAAGCTCCAACATTAACTTTGTTTTAATTATTTTTTTACTATCTTTCAATGCCTGGACTACTTTAATATGCATTTAGTCTTTTTTTGTAAGCCTCTTGGTGATATTTGATGAGGCCTGTAAATGTTTATAGCACTCTTGGAAGACCTGTTTAGTAAGCCTGGTAGGAGCAATTAAGTTATTTTTATTAATTTCTTGTGGAAATGTGTTTACTGTGGCTGACAATGAACCACATAGGTTATGAATTGCATTTTTTTGGAAGCAAGCACCCTGATTGGTTATTCTGCTGTGTTTTGGTGACTTTCAGTCCTGGTGACACTTCAGCCACATTTATTGTAAAGAACATTCTAGAATGAAATTAATAAATTTCATTTCAATTTTTTGTTTGGCAAATAATCACAGGATCTCAAAGAAGGAGACTAGTATACTTTATGGCTAGAAATGATGTCAATCATTATCCAATGCACATGTTTTCTGGATTTTGCAGGAGAAGAAACTATTGGAAGATAGGATTTCAGAATTCACAACCAACCTAACTGAGGAGGAAGAGAAGTCAAAGAGTTTAGCTAAACTCAAGAACAAGCATGAAGCTATGATAACAGAGCTGGAAGGTAGGAGAAGAATGTCAGATGGTTTGGCATAATCCACCTTTTCTTATCCATTGGGATTTCTCATTGTGTACAGGATCTGTTAAATCTCACCACATTGGACTTTAGAGTCTAAGGGGTTAATGTCACTGCAACTGTAGAAGGCTTGTATGGGAGATATTGATCAGTCTGAGGGAACCATTGAGTGGCGGGCTGGATGAAGGTTATATATATTGTCAGCTGAGCTTTGGTCTGAGTAAAAGCAATTTCAAAAACAGACCAATGGCGAAGAACAGCTGGTTCCATTTCTCTTCTTGCTGTGGGAATATTTCTGCTCTTATATATTCGGCAGTGGCTGAATACTTGGGTTTGTGCTGTTGCTATTATAGGCTCAAAAAGATACAGTACATCTTTGCACCATTGCTTATAGCACTGTCATAAAGGGTATTGCTTAACTGCTTGTGAGCAGTTTCAGCCTTGTATTCAGAATTCCCTTTGTGTGTTCCAGAATTTTATGGAGATACCTCCATAAGGTACCTCCTTTTAGCTAGGCAGCCTTGGGAGAGAGGGGGTGGCAAATGAATGTGGGAGATGGATGAATGAATGAATATTAAGGAGGTCAAAGGGTATCCCTGCCAACTCTGGTCTTTGACAATGGGTACCTGGATCAGGAAGTGCCATAGTAGCCCATCGCTGTTGCAATGTCTAGATCCAGGTACTGGCACTCTCAACTCTTCACATGATACGTTGATTAGAACTGTGTGAACCAACATGCACCACTGATCTACCTCTGTTCTTTCTTGCAGAGCGCCTGCGCAGGGAAGAAAAACAGCGGCAAGAGTTGGAGAAGACCCGCAGGAAGCTAGAAGGAGACTCTACAGATTTGCATGATCAGATAGCGGAACTCCAAGCTCAAATAGCAGAGCTCAAAATGCAGCTAGCCAAGAAAGAGGAGGAGCTGCAGGCTGCTTTGGCTCGGTAAGGCCTAGGTCCTACATGTTGTCCTGGGAAAATATTGTACTGTGTTCCTCCTCTTAACTGCAAGTGTAATGTCTCCTTACATGGTTTTAGAGTGAGTACTCTTTGAGGAACTACACCAAATAATTTACAATGTAAATATTGTTTGCTGCAAATATGGCAAGGCCTTGTTATTGTGACAATAAGGTAGAATGTTGGCTTCTGATATAGACTATAATCTCTTCTGTATTTTAACCTTTATTTCCCATCTCTCTTGCTAATCTGTTTTTGGAGCATGAAAATGAGGCTAGGCATTTCAAATAGAATCCAGCTGTGCTAATACGAACATGGATTATTACTGTCTTCTCAAAACACTTATTGAGACTAACCATCTCTTATACTGCAGTTCTGTACCTACCTATTCGGATCTGAGTTCCTTAGGATTTTCTCGCAGATAGGTGCATACAAGATGGCAACCTAAGTAATTTTCCTCTAGACAGATGACAATTTCTGATCTATGAAACCATAGAACTTTGCTCTGACATGTCTCTGAATTGGGCAGGGTGGAAGAAGAGGCTGCTCAGAAGAATATGGCTCTGAAGAAGATCCGTGAGCTGGAGTCTCAGCTAACAGAGCTCCAGGAGGACCTGGAGTCTGAGCGAGCTGCCAGGAATAAAGCTGAGAAGCAGAAGCGAGATCTGGGTGAAGAACTTGAAGCTCTGAAGACAGAGCTAGAGGACACACTTGACTCAACTGCAGCACAGCAGGAACTCAGGTAAGTACAAAATTTTGTGCCTACAACGCTTCTGAGATCAGCTCTGCCTCTTGAAGTCATGGAAAAAATTAGAAGGCTCTGCTGGTTTCTAACAGGTTCTGTCCAAAACTTATTTTGCCATGGCATGGCATGGCATGCTGTACTACCCTTCCCTCAAGTTTCTACTCAGCTAGGTTGGTGCTCCAATGTCAAGGCTCAGATCTCTGGTTCCTTACAAACTTTTTGTCAGTATCTAGCTAATAGAAGCATTTGGGCCTTCTGGCAGGTCGAAACGTGAGCAAGAAGTGACTCTTCTCAAGAAGACCCTTGATGATGAGGCAAAGGCCCACGAGGCTCAGATCCAGGAGATGAGGCAGAAACATGCCCAGGCTGTAGAAGAGCTGGCAGAGCAGTTGGAGCAGACCAAACGGGTATGTGAGATACTGAAAAGGTTTCATGTCACTGGTAAAAGCTTTTTTTTTTTTTTGCTGCAGAGTACTATCTTCCAGTTTCTGCACTGATAATTTGATAGCAATATTGATGTATTATGCACTTAATGGCTTTGCATTCCTATTGCTGAATGCACTGGAGGCCAGAAGCAGCATTCTAACATGTGGCAGAAGCTGACATGTAGTGCAGTAACTGGAGGACAGCCAAGAGCAATGCTTGGTTTTAGAGGTGTGCTCGTACTGGCTATGTTAGCTGCTAATTCAGGTGATTTCCTTCTGCCTGCAAGACTACTGGTGCTTAATGTTGGTTATTTTTCCTTGTAATAACTGGTAAGTACAGGACTTCTTTTCATTTCCCTTTTTGGTGTAGCTATCCTTTCTGTGTGAAGAGAGTTTTAATTCACAATGGTAGAAATGTTGGCAGTGCAGATTCATTGTTCTGTTAATGTTTGGGTGCTGAGCCCATTGATCTGACTCTTTTGTTAGGATCTTATTTTTAATAGCAATCCATGAAAGTCAGATTTCTGGAGTGGTAAGAAACCAATTTCTAGACCAGTTTCTTCCCGTCATCTTCAGGTAAAAGTGAATCTTGAAAAAGCCAAGCAGGCTCTGGAAAGTGAACGGGCTGAACTGTCCAATGAGGTGAAGGTCCTCCTGCAGACCAAAGGAGACACTGAGCACAAGCGGAAGAGGGTTGAAACTCAGCTCCAAGAACTACAAGTGAAATTTACAGAAGGAGAGAGAGTACGAACTGAGCTGGCTGAGAAAGTTAACAAACTGCAGGTAATGTTTCTGAGTGTGTTCCCTTTGGGTCTTGCCTCTCTAGCTATTCTTCTGTCTTAGAGAGAAAAGGAGATCTGCAACCACAAGATACAGTGTTCCTCTGAGGTGCAGAGCACTATTCCACTGTCACTTGCTTTGATTTATACCAAGAAAAAGATAGAGCTCATCCTAAGCAAGTGCTTTCCAAGAGCTGAAATAGTGGCTGGGTAACAAAATGCCACAAACTCCTATAGCAGTGCAGAGTAGGCTTAACTAAAAAGAGATGTATTTGGGGGCCTTTCTCCCTTTCTAAGAAGATGAAGTTAAAGGCTAGGTGGCAAAGCTTTACTGTGTAGAATTGTGTTAAGCCTCTTTTACTCTTTTAGGTTGAATTGGACAATGTCACTGGTCTTCTGAATCAGTCTGATAGCAAGTCAATTAAATTAGCCAAAGATTTCTCTACCCTGGAGTCACAGCTGCAGGACACCCAGGTAAAGTATTGGCAGAGGTGCCCAAGTTATTTCTCCTCATTGACTGACTGATTCTCAGTCCTGTAGAGCATCCCTGTATCTCCTGTTATCTTCATAGTGACAAATTCATATTGTTGACTAAGGGTTATAGACTGCAGGATCTGAGGTCTGCACTGTTCACTAATCATGGTGGCCAGCCTCAACCATGTGATTACTCTAGCTCCCCAAAGGAGGGCAGTCTCCCAGAGCTTTGGAATAGCTCTGCTCTTCAGAGTTCAGTTGTGGAGACAGGTTCTGTTCTCAGCCTTGGCAAGAGTGTATCAAGCCATGCACCACAGTAGTACACAGCCCCTCTTTTTAAGGTTGGACACTGAGAGTGGGAACAGAAGGGTGCATGTTGAAGATGCTCTCAGAATATTGACAGCATAATATGGCTGCAGTACTGATCTGTCCCCATTTTCTGATAGACAGCTATCAAAAGGTGCAACGTAACAGCATTTCATACAGTCCCCATTTTCTGATAGACAGCTATCAAATGCAACGTAACAGCATTTCATACGAAGAGCATCTGTGTGATGAACCAAACAGGGTAGTAAAACAAGGTATCTTTGCATCTAACATTTCCATGGGTCGAGGTATACCTCTCCTTGCTTCCAGAAGAAAACATACTTATAAAGCTACTGGATATCTGGCTTCATTTGGCTTCCATTGGCCATTCATTCCAAATGGCATATGGGTGATCCAAATATATGTTTGTACACCCTGTTCTTCCACCTACAGAAGTCAACTATGGAGTCCAACTGCATCCATTGACATGCCTATGGATCAGGATTCTTTGTATTTCACATCTAATACTTGTGAAGTTTAATGTATTCTTTATCATAAGATGCTAAATGATTCAGTGGTGGTTTTTATAGGAGCTGCTTCAGGAAGAAACACGTCAGAAACTGAGCCTCAGCACCAAGCTAAAACAGATGGAAGATGAAAAAAACAGCTTCAAAGAGCAGCTAGAAGAGGAGGAGGAGGCAAAGAGGAACTTTGGAAAACAGATCTCTGCTCTTCAGCTTCAGGTAGTTCAGCATTATAAGAACAAGCCTTTGGCTTTTGCATTCCCTCTTTCTCTAGCATGGCTTTGAAAAGACATTTAGAAGCTTCTACCTCTGTTTCACACTAACCGTAGCTTGCCATGTTGTCTGAACTGAGCAAACTGATCCATCTTACAAATCACAAGTTCAAGAGCTTACTTATTTCAGCCGGTTAGAATGATCACAGTTTAGGGTTTGGACACAGCATTGAACAATGTGTTGTTGTTTTTTAAAGAGGCAAAAGCTTCCTGTATTCCTGTGGCCATATTTTAAGAGAGGAGGTGATGATTTTATTACTTTGAGGCATCCTGTGGCTTATCTTCATACCATTTGACATTACATACAAACCAGGGCCTTCTGTTGAAACTGAGGTTTTCAAAGCAGTTGCATTTATTTTTGTGGCATGCTGCATTGTATGGCACAGTTTTCGTAGAGAATACCAGTATGATAGAGGTAGCTGAAAAGCTTTTTATGAAATGTGTAGGAATATATCTGTGAAGATTCTCAGTTATCCAGGTGAGCTTATTTAGAAGCTGAGTCATGGCAACTAGACTTCCTTTCTTTTTAGGCTGAAATGTTTTGCTGCCCATCCAAGTAGCTTCTTCAGTTTTTCTGAGTCTGAAGAACCTACTTGGATGAGTAGTGAAACATTCCAGCCTAGCAAGAAAGAAAATCCAGTTGCCATGACTCAACTTCCAGGTAACCTCACCTGGATGACTGAGAATCTTCACAGACATTTTATGAAAGTTGCTTAACCAAAAATGATTTCTCTGACTGTTAGAATGTTGACCTAGAAACTCTGGAAGTTCAGTGCTCAGAACTCTCCTATTGTTTTCAGAATCTGATCACTGTATCTCAGTATTCTTGGCTTCATCTGGGCAGGATTCACAAGATGGAACTCTCTGCTTTGGTTCATTCCATGCACATTTTCTTCAGTTCTGTTTTGGGGATCCGTTGATGGTTCTCCCCCTTCTTCTTGCAAAAGTGTTAAAACTGCAGTTGCTTCTTTGTGAGCCACTTTAAAGAAGTGAACAACTTTTTCTCTCATCCCCTCTTCTTACTCTCTACCTCAGATTTCGGAAATGAAGAAGAAAATGGATGATAGTGTAGGTTGTCTGGAATCAGTGGAAGAAGCAAAGAAGAAGCTTCAGAAAGATCTGGAGGCCATGAGCCAACGTTATGAGGAGAAGGCAGCTGCCTATGACAAGCTGGAAAAGACAAAGACTAGACTCCAGCAAGAATTAGATGATCTTGCTGTGGACTTAGATCACCAGCGGCAAATTGTCTCCAACTTGGAGAAGAAACAAAAGAAGTTTGATCAGGTATATTCAGTTGCAATTATTTGTCAACTCTTATCTCCTTTCCCTTTGTAAGCAGATTTGTCTGTCTGTCCCTTCTAGTTTACTGTAAACAGGTTCAGGCCACTGTATTCAAAGCACAAAAGGGAGTACAGTGGTGCCTCGCTTAACGATGATAATCCATTCCAGGAAAATCACCGTTAAGTGAAAACGTCGTAAAACGAAATTAAAAACTGCATTGAAATGCATTGAAACCCGTCCCATGCGCACCGTCCAGCGAAGATCCTCCATAAGGTGGCCATTTTCGCTGCCTGTATAGTGAGGAATCCATCCCTAAACACAGTGGGGAGCCATTTTAAGCACCCGGCAGCCATTTTGAAAACCCGACGATCAGCTGTTTTGATCGTCGTAATGCGAAGAATTGGTTCTCGAAGCAGGGAACCAATCTTCGCAAAGCAAAAAAACCCCATTTAGACCATCATTTTGCGATTGCAATTACGATCGCAAAAAGATCATCGTACAGTGATTTCGTCATAATGTGGGGCAATCGTTAAGCGAGGCACCACTGTAAATTAAATCTTCAGCCTAGCACATACCTTGAATTGGTGTCTAGGTTGGGTTCCCAGAGGTCATGCTTTATGTTTAGGCTGTTTTGGTGATAAGACTTTCCTGGAATTCTTATAATAACATTGACTTTCCTTATTCAGCTTCTGGCAGAGGAGAAAACAATCTCTGCAAAATATGCCGAAGAACGGGATCGTGCTGAAGCAGAAGCACGTGAGAAGGAAACGAAAGCCCTCTCCTTGGCTAGAGCCCTTGAGGAAGCCATAGAACAGAAGGCTGAGCTAGAGCGTCTCAATAAGCAGTTCCGGACAGAGATGGAAGATCTGATGAGTTCAAAGGATGATGTTGGCAAGAGTGTAAGTTAGTGGTATCCTACATCTAATGGGCTGGCGTAAGAAGGGTATCAGAAAAGAAATTAGGAATGACCTTCGAAAGGAGAAGGCTTGCAAAAAGATGTTTTATTTCACATATTGCTGTTGTTGCTTTGTACTGTCAAGTCACATCCACCTTTAATGATGTAAGCCACCTTGGGTTCTTTTTAAAATGAGAAATGAAGTAAAAACATTTTAAATAAGTTTAAAGTAATTCTGATAGGGTAAATAAGATATTTAAGAAGTGGTTTTGTCATTGCTAATCCCATAGTGAGTTTCCATGGCTGAGTGGAGATTTGAACCCAGATCTCTTGAATCCTAGTCTTGTAGCATTATTCAAATAGCCCATATTGGGCACAAAATATAGGCACTTCATTTAATTATGACAGAGAGGCACAAATTCATGAATCTGTTGTCCCACAGTGAGATCGTGCAGCTTGAAAAAAATCAGAACATAGCATTTCTAAGACATCTTTCTTTCTTAAGGAATGATGGCTTTGCCAGCATTTAGTAGAGCTGGCTTGTGCTGTGTTATTTCCTGTTAAAGCGATATCCAAAACATCTATCTAGAAAACATAACAAGTTTTCATTTCTGAATGGTTAAATTGGCTGAGTCAGGAGTCTGACACAGGTTAGTTTCTAGCAAGAACTCTTGCAAAAGTGATCTGTCCAGATGAGTAGAAGGACTGATGAAGTGAGTAGTGAGTTGGAGATAAGTGACTTCCCATTCCTGTATGAATGAGCTTGTTTGAGCTTGAATGAGCAGCACGCTTTTTGTATTTTTAAGTGTTTGTCTTTTTAATATTTACCCAAACAGTATCTCATCTGCTGAACAATGAAAGAGTGGCTTTACTGTCATGGAAGAAACTGGGTTTCTTTTTTGTGTGGCAGGTTCATGAGTTGGAGAAGTCAAAACGGGCTCTGGAGCAGCAGGTGGAAGAGATGAAGACGCAGCTGGAAGAACTGGAGGATGAGCTTCAGGCAACAGAGGATGCCAAATTGCGCCTGGAAGTGAACCAGCAAGCCATGAAGGCACAATTTGAGCGGGACCTGCTGGCTCGTGATGAACAGAATGAAGAAAAGAGAAAGCAGCTGACGAGACAGGTAAACTTTCAGAAATCTCGAAAGCGCCTGTAATGCACCGGGTATCTTCTCAGACAATTTTTTTTATCATGGAGGTTCCTAAATTGAGTAACCCAAACTAAATGGTAATACAGCAGGTTTGCATTTCCCTTTCCCCCTCTTTCTTTCCTGTTTGCCTCAAGGATAGGGAGACACCATTGAACTTAAGGTTATACACTTTGGCTTCATACAGGTGCGAGAAATGGAAGTGGAACTGGAAGATGAGAGAAAGCAACGCTCTATAGCTGTGGCAGCAAGAAAGAAGTTGGAAATGGATCTAAAGGATCTGGAAGCCCATATAGACTCTGCGAATAAGAATCGTGATGAGGCCATCAAACAGCTCCGGAAGTTGCAGGTGAAGTTCTGTTTTTCTTTACTGGTAGCGCCCAAGCAGTATCCCGCGAATTTCAACACACAAGTTTCATGTAGATCTCAAGTGGGCAAGGTGTTAGGACTTGTGGGCAAAATTAAACTCCCCCCCCCCAATGGGCTGAACCAGTCCTAGAAATAGCTGAAATGGCCATTAAAAGAAAAATCAAACAGAAACTATGTAGGTGTGCATTGACGGAAGATGAGATGGTTGGACAGTGTCATCGAAGCTAAGAACATGAATCTGACCCAACTCCGGGAGGCAGTGGAAGACAGCAGGGCCTGGCGTGCTCTGGTCCATGGGTCATAAAGAGCTGGACATGGCTAAATGACTAAACAACAATGGTTTGAGGGAGTCTCAGAGGACCATCAAAGGTCCAGGAGCAAAAAACTGCTAGCAGGAGTTTGTTTTTTTCTAGCTCCTCTCCTATTTTTATTGTAGTGTTCTGAAATTGCAGATACTAGAAGCTGCAAAAATGCCCCAAGGAGCCCATATGCAGCCTGTACTTTTCCCACTACTGGTGAAGATCAATTGTTGTGCAGAAAATCTCATTTAGTTGCTATTTGGACCAAGAAAGTTGGTTACTTGAAGCTTCAGTTGGGTTTTCATCATTTGATATAAGATCTGATATTATGGATATGTGATGTTTAGATGTAGTGCTCTCTATGCTGAAGTTGTCAGGTTTGATCCTTGGCACCTTCATATAGCAGAGCTGGAGAAGACACCTTGGAGAGCTGCTGCCAGTAGGATTAAGCTTAATGAGACTTGGTAGATGGATGGGGCTAACGATGTATGAGACAACTTCACATACTCATAGAATTGTCTTTGCATTTTTTAGGCCCAAATGAAGGATTGCATGCGAGAGCTGGATGACACACGTGCCTCTAGAGAAGAAATTTTGGTACAAGCCAAAGAGAATGAAAAGAAGTTGAAGAGCATGGAGGCAGAGATGATTCAAATGCAAGAGGTAACCTAATTCCAGAAGAACATCTTAGTTGGTACTGAAGTCAGCTGTATAGATATAGGGAAAGCAGGATGTTACTTTCAAGGGGATGGAACAGAATACTGGGGAGACCTTGGAACTTCAGTAGTTCAATACTGAAATCCATTTGAATGGTTTCTGGAATGAGTGGGAAATCATATGATTTGCTACATTCAAACTATCTCTTGCCTCTCCCTTTGTGGGTCTCTCAGCTTTCTTACTGTACAGCTGATCTTAGGGTCAGCTTAGAGACCTTTCCTCTCTCTGAAACTTCAATTTCATTGTCTCCAACCACAGATTGTATTTTAACTCTTTGTTCATCAGAATCCTGCTTTCACTTGACTAATGCCTGTACCTACAGGTTTTATCTCTTTGTGCTTCATAGTATTTTCTGATTAGCATGTTGTGTTTATTATGATGTTCAAGTGTTCTGTGCCCACAATATATTTGCCACTTTAAGTTTCTGGGAGTAGAAAAGCTTCCTGTTCTGAGACATACTGCCGGCTCTTAATTTTTCATCCTGTACTTCCTCCAGTATGTCTTGTCTCATGTCTATAGGCTCAGTTTGACCCATCATCTGTGTTCATCTTGTTCTGCTTTCAGGAACTTGCAGCTGCTGAACGTGCCAAGCGCCAGGCTCAGCAGGAGAGGGACGAGTTGGCTGATGAGATTGCCAACAGTAGTGGAAAAGGGTGAGTAGTATTCATGGAGGAGAAATGTTGTGGAAAGAGGCTGTCATGGAAAGGCTGTTCTGCAGTGTTAATGCTCTTAAATTGTGTGGTGCCCGGAGCACCCCTTATAACCACTGCACATTTGTAAGATCAAAAGTAGTGAGTGTTCTCATAAAAGTGTATGTTCTTACTTGGTTTGTTTCCCAGAGCTCTGGCCTTAGAGGAGAAGCGACGCTTGGAGGCTCGGATAGCTCAGCTGGAGGAAGAACTGGAGGAAGAGCAGAGCAATACAGAACTGGTGAATGATCGCCTCAAGAAAGCGAATCTTCAGGTACTTGTTTGTGTTTCAGCAGACAGTTCCTGTTGAGAGACAATAGTTCATAGCAATTGCTATTGGTTCCTCTTTATCAAAGGCTTTCAGCTCTCTTGCTGTATCATACTGTCAACTGCCCGGTAACTCCAGACCCACAGTTCCTATTGCAAGTGCAGGAGATGCTTGGGTTCAAATTCCAGACATACCCATGTGATAAGAGGATGCACTTCACATTTACAAGTTCCCACATTTAATCTTTGGCATCTCCAGCTATGAAATGTGGGCAGCAGAGCTTAGAAGTCCTTTCTTACTTCAGTATTAAGTTTGATAGGCTATTGGAATGAATCTGAATAACAGAGTGGCTCTTACACTGGGCACATAGAGACACAATAGTTAATATATGTTGACTCCTATTTTCTTCTTTGTTAGAAGTATTACAGATTTTCAGTAGTGAGGTAATGCCAACAGGGTAGGCTAGTAATGTTCTTCTATTTGGTTATCTTGATCTTTTAGGGAATCTAGAGAGATGGATTGGGACCCCAGTAGGGACAGATTTGCTCCAAGAGCCTGAGATTGCCCATCTGTCATATGGAGGGGTGTGAACTGAAGGGAAAAGGAATTTTTCAAAACAGGAATTGACCCACTTACTGTTCTTTTTCCCCCAGATTGACCAGATAAATACCGACCTGAATGCAGAGCGTAGTAATGCCCAGAAAAATGAAAATGCTCGCCAGCAAGCTGAGCGTCAGAACAAGGAACTTAAAGCCAAGCTTCAAGAGATGGAGGCTGCTGTGAAGTCTAAATATAAGTCTAGTATCACTGCTTTGGAGGCAAAGATAGCGCAGCTGGAAGAACAGCTGGATGCTGAGACAAAGTAGGTGTTCCAAGCATTCATTCATTCTTTTTGATGTACAGGCACCAACAGGTTCTAGGCAATAATTGCCTATAACTCAAGGGAGAGTTTGGGAAGGGCTGCAAGGAGGGCTCTTGGGGTTTTGTTTGATATTTAATTCTTTGTTATGAAGGCTACTGTGAACAGTACAAGAGTCAAAATGCAAGTGGTGGAAGGAATGCAAAATGCATCCATTCTGAAATTTTAGGGTTTCTGTGATTTTTCTACTCTTATCCAGACCCTTCTATAGAATACCTACTGTATCTCTTGTTTAGAGGTGATACCTTTAGAACAGGTACTAATTGAAGGCAGAACAATGAAATTACCACTGATGCATTCAGGACACAGTCCCTAAAACAGTCACTTTTGAAAGGTTGTGTATGGGCCACACAAATCGTCATTGATATAAAACCTGCTAAATTTCATCAGCATAAACTAGTTCCATGTAATGGAGAAAACTGACTTTGGCAAACAGTCAGCTCAGGACAGTGCCCACAGGGTAACTATGTAGTGACCTATTTTCTGTTTGCCTCAGTCCTAATTGCATATGGATTCCCTTGCTGCATGGCCTTAGTTTCAAAACATTTTCTTATCTATCAAACTGGCGGTATTTTACTTTTGCCACTTCACTTCTGTAATTTGTCTCTTCTGCATGGGATAAAGGAATGTCTCCAGATGCAACCCTTGGCTATTTTAGCATTCTTTCTTCAATATAATTGAACAACTTTTTTCACAGAGAGCGGCAGGCTGCTAGCAAGCAGGTGCGACGTACAGAGAAGAAGCTGAAGGATGTTGTCCTGCAAGTGGAGGATGAGAGGCGTAATGCTGAGCAGTACAAAGACCAGGTATGTGCCATGCTGAAGGATTTTGCTTGATAATCTGAGCAGGCGGGAGATCATTTGCTGCAGTCCCACCAAAGGTCCATCTGTTGAAGCAGTTAGGCTGTTGACAGTGTTACTCTTTATAGAGTTCTCCACCCTTTTCACTCAGGGCAGCAAAAGTCTTTGCCTGAATAAATTTCTACCCTCTGGAAAGAAATGTCACAAATCAGGAACAGTGGTAGTGGAAAAGCTCTAGCTTGGTGCTGAAATATTCACATTTTTCATATTGGCTCAGATTGCTATACAAGGAGGGAAAGAGGTGGGAAACACTGCTGAATGGCATAAACTTTACAGGGACACTGTAAACTTTATCCCTGATGTGGATGCTAGACTTTAAGAAGCAAAGGAGTTTGTGTATTGCAGAATAAGGATTGTAAATTATTGTATTCATAGAGTGGGGATAGTGACTCCTTTCTGTGCTCTGCAGGCAGACAAGGTGAATGCACGCTTGAAGCAGCTGAAACGCCAACTAGAAGAGGCAGAAGAAGAGGCACAGCGAGCCAATGCAGCTCGCAGAAAGCTACAGCGGGAGTTGGAGGATGTCACTGAAACTGCTGATGCCATGAACCGAGAGGTCAGCTCCCTGAAGAGCAAGCTCAGGTAAGGTGGATACTCTTGTAATCTTGCCTTCCTGTGACACCCACTGCCTGAATGTGTACATGTCCCAAAGGTGATATTCTTCCCTTTAGAGATGAAGGTACACAGCCTATCACCTGTTCTGTTCTCTCCAACAGGCGTGGGGATATGCCATTTGTTGTGCCCCGCAGGATTGCCAGGAAGGGCACAGGCGAAGTATCTGATGAGGAAGTGGATGGCAAGACAGATGGTGGTGATGCCAAAGCTACTGAATAGAGCTGCTTCTTGGATCCAGGTCACACACGATGGAGTGACACACTCTCCCTTTGTCCAGTGGACTTCTGCAAACCCTTCGGCCAGGGAAAGTGAAGCACATCTGTCAGAATGTTCCCTGGAATATTTGGAGCCATCAGACGTTAGTGTTGTTGCTCCCAGTTTCTAAACTCTTTTGTCTCCAATGCCAAAGAGTCTGCCGTCTGATTTGATCTGGGAGCCACAGCTGCCTGCAGCATGTATTGTCCTTGCCATGGCTGCCAGTGAAATTTTGTAGTTTGGCAAATGGGTGGGTGGGATGAGGGAGAGACTATTTCTTGTTGCTGTAAATCAGTTATTTTCTTCCAATAAGGAGTTTGTGATAGATGCAGGGATCACCCTTCACCCTTTCCCCTTCCTCTTGTTTGCTTTTGGCAATCATGTTCAGTGACCTCACACTTTACTCTTCAGTCTGCTCACTTAGCCAGTTTGGGAGCCATGATGAACAGGAAAAACAAGGATCCCCAGCATGACCCCCCAAGTGTTAGACACCAGTCTTGGGGATGGATGGATGAAAGGGGAGGGACATCTTGTAGGAGAATTTTTGCAAGTTCCTTTTTCCTTGTGGATAATGTCTCTGCAGATCTGAAGTGCAATGGTGTCTGTTTTAGTGTCTAAGATAATGTGGACCAGTGGTTAGTGACAAGTCAAGGAAGCAGGAAAGCTTTCCTCTGTGCTTGTTGCAGAATCTATTTGGGACCAAATATATTTAATGGTTACACACAGGATCTATTGGGTTGGAATGGAGTGTAGGCAAGGAAGTGCTTCTTTGTTGTAACGTCCAAGCCTCTAGTTCTATAATCAGGGGGTGGGTTTAGTTATTCTGCACAGTGACTTAAGAGTATATTAAAGAAGAAAAAATACTTTTAATCTGCACAGATTATATGTTGAAGGCCTTTGTATCTCTTGTAATTAAGAAAAATAAAGGTCTTTATCACTGCCTTTCTATGGGGACTGCGGTTATATAGATAGTCTTTACTTTTCTACACTGTACACTGGTTGCTGGATTTACCTGTATACTTAACCATACTGTATATGCTGCATTTAGACTTCTGAGCAAGTGACAAATTAAAATAAGAATCTTCTACACTTTATGGTTGCTGCCTTCACTCTGGGAATCTCCTGCCCAATTGCTGTCACAAACAAATTTGCCGATTTTTTATATAATAAGTGCCTTAGCATGTGCCTCAGCTATGTCTCCACTACAGTCAATAATGGATTACAGGTGCTCCTCTAACAATAAAGATTATCCATGTGCTACAGTCTTCTGTGTGTGCTTACGTATCATGTGCAATAGGGGAGTTGCCATTACAAGGTAGATTGCCTGCTTATTTAGCACTAAAGAACTGGATGGCTCTGCTTGACGTATGTAGAACTGAGATAGATACTGGGAAGGGCTGATAAGAATCTTCTTGTAGTGCCTAGCTACTGTTCTATAAATGTTGCTCACAAGCAGTGATTCCTCTATATGTGATGGAAACATCATAGAAAGCTGGAAGAGTTTGTACCTTGTAATAAAATAATTGCAAGGTCAGATGGGCCATTTCAGGATTCATTATGCTGGAAAGAGAGAACTGATGGTAGTAGAACACACTCTAGACTTTATGAAGGCTGATTTCAATACATTTTAAGAAAGCACTGGGTGATATACTCAAGGAGAGGGGAATCTGACATGGATGGGAGTTCCCTAACTATGGGATACTGCAGTACACAATTGCAAACAATTCCTATGAGAAAGACGTAGGAGGCACCAAAATATGTGAAGGTATCTGCATAAAGATCTGAGATTTTGAAGGGGCATGGGAGAAAGAGCAAATCACCAAGAAAGAGTTCAAATGAGTAGCCCATGACTAGACAACATTTGCAGGGAGACTAACAGGAGGGCCAAACTTCAGAATGTGTTCAGATCTGCAAGGTGAATTTAAAATAGCATTAAAAACAAAACAAAAAAACCCCAACAAACCACTTTTTAACTAGGCACAGAGGAAGAACACAGAATAGGAAGAATGGGAAGTGCTAATGAGTGACAGGAGAAGATGGAATACAACACATACTTTGCCTGTTGTCTGCTGAAAGGAAAACAGTTCTCATTGTGGTAAAAGCAGAGTCAATGATGCAGTGAGAGGGCTTCAGCCAAAGGTACAGTAGATGAAAATGCAGTACAGAACATCTAGCTACTTTGAATCCAGGTTTCCAGGTGCAGATGAACTGCCCCAAAGGAACTTGCAGGTGCAATCTCAGAGCCTCTGTCTGTCTGAGAATTCTTGGAGACAAAGTGAGTTACTGAGGAAATGTCCCCATGTTCAAAAGGAGGGAAGATGGCAATTTGGGTAATTAGTCATTTTGAACCGGAAAAGGTTCTAGATGTTACAAATCATACTAGCCTAAATTTATCTCTCTCCCCCCCACCCACCCCCTTTTTAAAATAAGAGTTACAAGTTTAGTAGAAGAACGGAATACTGTGGATGGAATGTATATTTTAGTACTTTTAGATAAGTCCACTTTATATTCTTGTGGCCAAGCTAGTAAAGTGCAGACTAGACAATGCTACTGGTTAGGTGGGTTTATAGCTGGTTGATGGGCTGTATGCTAAGAATGCTACTCATCATACTGAAGATAAGTGACATGGGGTGTTGCAGGATTCTTACTTGGTATGTGGTGGTGTTTAGTGTTTTTATAGATGGCTTGAATGAATGAGTAGAGGAACACCCATCAATTTTGGGGGAAAAAGGGGAAAAAACCACAAAGTTCTAAAGTCATACAAATATAGGATTGGTAATCTAATACATGTAGAAACGATGCGAAGCTCTTAGCAAACCGCAAGCTAAAACAAGTCAACAATGTCCTGTGGTGGCCAAAAATTCTTGGTGCTCTTGCAATTCTATTATATTTTATTAGACTTCTACCCTGCCCATCTAGACCAAAGGTCTACTCTAGGCTGCATCAACCAAAGTAGAGTGTCAAAATAGTAATAATACTACTCGGAATAGTACTACTCTGCTTGGTTAGACGGAACCTAGAATGCAGAATACTATTCTGGGCATCTCGTGTTAAGAAGGCTGTTCAACACTGAGTTGTGCTAATATACTTACACAAGTGTAAAGATTTAATTAAATTCTGGTCTGTGATTTCTGACCTTTTCTCATAAGGCTCCTAATGTGATCTCTACAAACCGTTGACATCGTTTGTCAGAGAAGTGTCCAATTTTGATGGGGTTGTTTCCTGTGCAAAATGTTTCATCATATAAAGTGGTTCAGTCCCAGGAGCGAAGCCTCCTGAGATTAATTTGAATCTTTAGCTTTACTCTATGGGAGATGAACATTAGATTTTTCAATAAACTGAGCAGCTCGTACATCATTCTAGCAAATATTAAAAGCAAGACTTAAATTATACTGTGTATGCCAGTAGGCCGGAGAGCTTTTGAAACGGGGAAAAAAACCATTGCACATGAGGTGTAGTACCTTTCATCCAACACAAAGTGGCACTGCTCCATTTTAAAGTACAATTATCAATAGGTTCTCAGTCTATTGACTACAAGATCTAGAAATAGCTTATATTTAGTATAATTTGCCTTGCTGTATAATATCACAACTGCCTGAGGATTATGAGAGCTGCAGTCCAACACATCTGGAAGGTTTTGGGTTGAGAAAGACAGTGCTGAAGTATGCAATCCCTCCTGAGATTCAACTCAATGCACCATCAGATTTGGCAAAGTCTACCTTCCCTGATTCGGAAACTAAAAATATTATCCAACTTCCTGAGCCTTCCAATGGTATGGTCAACAGTCCTAACCTTAATGATGACCTTCTATTAACTGATACTGGCGGACAATTTAACCTTCCCTTGGATTTTGAGCCTGCTAACTCAAAGGCAAATTTGGAAAAAGCTGAATCCAGCTGCGCTGACGAGGGCTATAATGTCCAACCTCCCGACATACTGATGCCTACTCCATCAACACTCAAAGTTCTTGCAAAGCCTTTGACCCCACTACTATCAAAACCTCCTCCTAATGGTTCCACTTGTGTGGAGCCACTGTTTGACTCCATTGCGCCTGATTCCAATGACTGACTATCCCCCACCCCACAAATACTTTCTCCCCCTCTCTTTCCTTGTAAACGTATGTCTTGGAACATTGCTGGTTGGTAGAGCAAACAACATTAATTAGATTTTATTAACTATCTAAAAACCTTTGATACAATATTTCTCCAAGAGATCTGGTCAACTAAAGAAATTGTTCTTTCAGGCTTTAATTCTTACACCTTACCTCCCTTCAGAACTAATACAAAAGGCCGGTTGGAGGCAGGCTTATGTTGTCTGGTTAAGCCTGCACTTAGTGTCACATTTCTGCAGCCTTTACGGCTAAGTGGCCTATGGGACAACTGATCCTGGTTAATCTCTATATCCCTCCTGCCCTAACCGGTTCTTCATTATCCACCACATGGTCAGACCTGAGGAATTACATTGACTCTCTAATCGCTCTCTTGTTTTAGCAGGTGATTTTAATGCCAGATTGGGCTCCAGCAATGATGCTCTATCTGCTCATATGATGTGGGGCTCCGATGCTTTAACATCACCTCCCTTTTTGGATTCTAGGACATCTAACAACCCAACAATCAATCAGGCGGCACATCATATGGTCAACCTCTGTTGTAGTTATAATTTGGGAATTCTCAACGGATCTAGAATTAGCACTTATTCTGGTGAACTGACCTTTCTATCTAGGGGGTATGAGTGTGGTAGATTAAATTTTAATGTCCCCTGACTTGTTTCCCAACTTGTGAACTTTATGATTGGCTCTCATTCTGAAAGAGACCATCAACCTGTTCTTCTATATTTTGGGAGTTTCTCCTCTTAACTAATACTATTACTCCCCCTGCCTTATATAATCATAAAACAATCTAGTCAAATAAAACTAGGAATCTATATGTTCATTGTTAAATGGGATTCCAAGACTTTCTACTCAACTGTTCTTGTCCCTAAGGCTCTCAAGACAAGTTTAGCAAGAATATAAAATGTATTACACCGAAGGAGAGAAGAGTTATCTATCAGCCAGTTTACCTTCCAAAATATATTCTGAGGGCAAACTAAACATTACACCAAGGTGGGGCTGAGATGTGTGTAGGCACGTTCTCTCTGAGTAATAATAACTGCAGAGCTGGCAGGGACCCTATGGATCATTGAGTCCAGCTCCTGTCAAGGAGGCACAGTGGGGAATCGAACTCCCAATTTCTGAACCTAAACTACTGAGCCACCCAGCAATTCCTAACTGTTACCCATATTTGCTGGCATATAAGACGACTGGGCGTATAAGACGACCCCCCAACATTTCCACTCAAAATATAGTTTGTTATATACTCGCCGTATAAGACTACCCCCTCTTCCGCACACCTTCCACACACCAAATAAAAGGTGCTATTCATTGTCACCATTGTACGGCTGCAGCGCCTCCGGCCCGCCCCTGCATCTCCCTGTGACCGGGACTAGTGCGCAAGTGTGTGAGCTCTGCATAGACAAGGGGCGGGCCAGAGCGCTGCTGCTTCCCACCGAGCAGAATGGGCCGGTCACGTTGAAAAGGCTGCTGATGCTCGCCGCGGCCGCGCTGGATACCACGCGATACTGGATGGTATGTAGAATGAGGTGGGCAGGCATCGGGAGGCTACTATGGGCACTGGGCGAACATCAGAAGGCCACTATGGGCAGCTATGTCTATCCCAACTGAAGTGCACCGAGCGTATAAGGCGACCCACCCACTTGGAGGCATGTTTTTCAGGGCAAAAAAATTATCTTATACGCCAGCAAATACAGTAGTAGTTTCTCTTAAAATCCGCAGCATAATAGATTTATAATCCATACTTTTCCCTACAAAAGGATAAGGTTGTGTGACATCTGAAAAGAAAACAAAGAGGGAAGGAATCATCCAGCCCCTTCTGCTCCAATCATAAAATATCAAGAGACTATTACCTATTTTAATATCCAAATTTGGTCCCAATAATAGAAGTTTGGGTCCAGACCTGTTTCCTGGCTGCCTGCCTCCTTGCACCTGTCAGATTCCAGTCTCTAGTCTGTGTTCCAGGAGAACGCTGCAAAGATGTTTAATGCCTTGCTGAGTTTCCTGTGAAGAGCTCCTGCTTGTAGTTTAGCCCTTGAAGATTCCTGAAAGATTTGGTAATTGAATGGAACATGAGTTGTTGGGCTAAGCTGATACTATATGGTGTATACTTTTTACTTCACTGAGAAACAGATGGTATATTAACTGGACAAAATGGAGAAATGTTAAGTGGTGGGACTTTTGATGTATGGAAAGCATTTAGATCTTGCATGTTGGACACTGTTACAATGTTGGCAGATTTTCTTCTTAATTACAGCCTATTGGTACTGAGAAGCTACCAAACCCATTAAAGCCAAAGTGGCCAATACGGAGCCCATACAGGCCTCAGCCTAATTTAATGTGAACAAATTAGAGAGAAAGGATGGGAGGAGAAAATCCAAATCAAACAATGGAGGGGAGCCCTCTGTAACAGATGAGTTTACACTTAGTGAAGACATTCAAGAGAGAGAAAAAGGATAGAAGAAGCCCAAGGGGGAGGTATGTCTTTCATTTTTTTCTGTCTTCCAGTACTCAGGACATGACAGATCATCCCTGAAGAAATATGATCATCAGTAGGAAAAAAAGAGGCTTCTTCCTGCTGTGAGCTGGGGTGTATTATAAAGAACCTTAGCAAGAACACCACTACCATTGTAATTCCAGTGATAAGAGTTAGTTGTGTGACTCAGCCCTGCTAACAACTAGCCAAGGTAGCAGAAATGCCCATGGGAGATATTCCAAAATTAGTACTCATGTAAGATTGGAATGGAGAATGCATGACTCACAAAGCTTCTATTTCCCCCCTGAAGCAAGAGATTCATGTTCTGAATCTCTTAAGAGGGAATTCTTCCTTAAAACTAGGTATGAACCAATCATGCTTTGTGTGTTTGTTTTTAAAAGAGATTTTGGTCCCAGGTAGTTGGACTCTAGAGTTACTTAGGGCTGCTCATCACTGGTGTAACATCTCTATTAGGCAAAACAAACAAACAGAAAATCCCCCACAGAATGTTGATGCCACATACCGTACTAACACTGATACCTCTTCTAAAATTATCTTTATTAGTACAATTTAGAAATCATAAGAAATCTTCAAGGTTTAAATATATTTATTTTGTATAATTTAATGCCACTTTTCTCCCCATAAGGTGACCCAGAGCAATTCAAACAATTAAAATTATATGATGTTAAGAGGGTTAAAATACTATGCAAAAATTATTAAAAACAATTAAACATTAATCAATATTTAAACCAAGATTAAAAACAATATTAATATCTGAATTTAATAAATACAGCATTTTTACACTTCCACTTATTGCTTAAAAGCCTGCCTGGAAAGGGAAGTCTTTGCCAGACAATGAAAGGACAAGAGGAAAGGGGCCAAACTGGCTTCTCAGAGCACTGCATTCCAAATCCTGGGAGCAGCCACTGAGAAGGCCTTCTCTCATGTCCTCATCAAATGAGCTTGGAAAAGTGGTAGAACCGAGAAGGGCCTCCCCAAAAAAATCTTAAAAGCAAAGAAGGTTCATATGGGGTGATATGATACTTTAAATAGCCTGGACCCAAGCTGTACAGGACTTTATAGGTAATAACCGGCACTTTAAATTGGGCTGGAAACATTGGCAGCCAGTGAAGTTGTTGTAACAAGGGAGTTGCATGCTCCTTATGGCATGTGTCACCAACCAGAGACCAAAGCCATCTCTGTTCCGTAACCTGAAGCCAGATTGAAATGGATCTAGCTAATCCACTTATCAAGGAACCACATCTCATTTGACAACTTGTTACAAAAAAGCCCACATATCTGAAGGGCACTAGCTTGGGGGAGGTTGTTTCCAAGTGCTTTACATACATTGTCTTGCTAATCCTCTACCATATCTTCATAATGTCACTAAAACAAAATTTGGGGATAGGTAGAATTATGGAAAGATTACAAACAAGGTGAGCTTTGATTTCCTCCAGAATTCTTCTTCCAGCATATATGTATAAAATTTGTTTATTTACTTTATGTATGTCCACTTTCTCCGAAGGTGGGGACATACCAACATGTTGATAGGGGAAGAAAACAAAAAGTCTCCAAACCCTAGGTGAAATATAATGGCCACTGTTTGTAAGGTGGGACTTTGAACCCAGAAGGTTGTGTAACTCAATCTTTTGTCCACTTTATAATCATAGTTACCATATGAAGTAGGGAGTGAGCCATCCAAGGACTTTAACAGCTCATGAGGGACTAGAAACCAGTTTTCTCAAGTCTAGCATCCTACTGACTCATTTGCTTAAGAAAAGCCAGTTATTCTTGAAACTCCACATAAGTGCCTTTTTTCTATAACAAATTTGGGCAAGGACAATTTTAGCTGGTCAAAGTGTCCTAATATATGGCATAACTCTAACTGAATTCTCATCAATATTCTGAATTAAGGTATGTAGCCTAACAAAGAGGACCAGATGTTTGCCCTTAGTGTTGCAGTAGACACAATTGTATACATTGCATACATCTCTTTCTGCACTTTACTGAGGTTTTATAAAGAAATTTTTGAAAATAAGAAAGCCAAAATTCCTCTCAGGCACTGCTTACAAAAGTTTAAATATAATGTCTGGGTAGTAAAACATGTACCTGCTACAGTTAAATGTTACATGGCATTTAAGACTTCAGAAAGAGAGATTGGATTATTTTATTCTTCTACAGCTGTTTTAGATTAAATGAAGGATAAAACCAAACAATTCAAAGGGTTGACAACAAAATGAATAACCTGAAAGCAGAACTGAATGTTAGCTGAACTGAATATTATCTAGGTTGAACTGTGGTTGGTACATGAATTTACAGTCAGTTTTTGTGCAATATCATTTCAGAATTTGGGCCTAAGCTCAGAGATGGGACTCCATCTGCTTATCAATCAAAACATCATATATTAATGGATACTCCCTACTCATAACAAGGTATGGAATGCATCAACCAGTTATTGGGGGATTTGGGTTGTTTCTTTTAGTTAGCAGAGTATAAGATAGGGAAAAAAAGAAACATGGAAAAAATAGAGGTATCAGCTCAGTCTCATCACACATACACCACCCCTTTGGTTTCTTTTCAACAAAAATAGCACTTTATATAATAAAATCACTCTTGAAGCATTTGAGATTAAAAAAAGATATGTATACTTACAGTTAACATTTGTAGTTACAGTCAGAAGGATTAAAAAAAGAGAGAAAAATTGGGTCTCCAGCACATGGAGAGACCCTCCATGCTTGTTGCTTAGCTGGAGATCAGAGGAAGAAGGAGGCTATCAACAAAACAAAGTAAAATAGGAAGAGGGACCAGAGGCTTGACTCAAATGCCACAGGTGGGAAAAGAACTTCACCAGCCAAATTAGTGGCAAAGCACAATCACATTAGGTTGTAAAGCTTCCTGCTGCTGACATTCAGTGTTACTGCATGCAAGATTGCTATTTTCCCAATATTAGCATCAGAGAATCTGTGTGACATACGAGAAGCACATTGCTATGAAAAGCCTGCATTACACTCTGATGTAAGGAATGTAATGTATTGAAGATTTTCATGACTTGAGAAGGCAGCAAGTGATTTGTCTGTCCACAAGCTTTAGTAGGGAATTGTCATGGACAATATGGAGATTGGAGTGACTTGTTGCTTGTTCTCCTACATAAAAGTGAACAATAATGATCTGACTCATCTCAGTCCACTTTATTTTTCTCACACCAAATACTGCAATATTTAAATGTTCAATTTCTTGCTTTACTTTAATTCATTCTTCTTACACTCCATTTGTGCAGCACTGGATTCTCACTTTGCTTCTGTGTGCATTCATAGGTGCAGTCCTATTTCTGTTTATCTGTTGTTCTTCCTAATAGCTGATTGAATGCTTTCCAACCCCAAAGTCTCATCTTCCAGCACTATCTCTTGTTTCACTTTGGATCGTCTCCTATCACTCTTCGATGCACATCTTAATATGGTGAGGGAGGTTGAGTATGTCAAGGAAGCTGAAAGCAATGCTCAGGAAGCTAGATTCTGTTACAAGTCTGGGTTCCTAGCAGGATCATCCAAGATAAAATGGTCAACGCTTAGGCAGAAGACTAAAATGTCTCATTTTCTTTTCTTTAACAATTAATGGTCCTGTCAGGAGAAGAACATTGATACTGTAGTTCTGATAGTGGGGAGAGTGAAGAAACTCCTGAAGGGGAAATGCAGAGCAATAGTAGTAGAAGGTAATACTGGCAAAGGATCTTTCACAGACATCAGCAGTGACACTCAAGCTAACTATTGTCAGTGCTGCACAGAAGAAGGCAACAGCAAATCACTTTGAATATTTAATATGCCCTATATATACAGCGAAAAAGAAGGAATGCAAATACATAGAATAATCGTTAAAAGCAGTTAAAAATATTAGAATATAAAATATAAACATTTCTCTCTGATGGAGAAAACATCACTTTTCTGTCTTGGCTAGCAGCCAAGATATCTGAAAGACCACTTCTTTGCATGTGAAGCTGCCTAACATTTTAAATTTTAAATAGAGATCCTGTTGTCTCTGTCTCCACTTGAAGATTGGTGATTCCATGACATAGGGCTTCTCAAGAAAAGTCAGGCAGGATCTGTTATTACTCATACTGATTGTGACAGGTAACCAGTGTGTAATTCTGAGCTAAACAATGCTAGTTCAAATGCTAGAGTACAGCAGTGAAATCAAAGTGTTTCACTTAAATCAATGAAACATGCATTACTTTTGAATAAAAAGTCCCAGTTGTTTTAGTAGATCTGTTTCATTTTGGATTGTTTTACTTCACTCTCGAATGCACACCTTAACATGGTAAGGGAGGTTGAGTGTGTTAAGGAAGCTGAGAGCCTTGTTCAGGGTGCTAGATTCTGTTATAAGTCTGGGATCCTAACAGGGTAACATAGATTTAGGTCACCATCAGGCTTCTGGCTTGTAACAAGGTTTTTCGTCTGTTTTTAAGGTCACCCCACTTTTTTTACGTGCATTAATTAGTTTGGGAGATCTAGAAGGCAGAAAAGCAAATTTCAAATATCAGAAATACGTAAATAAATAAATCCTCAAATCACCAATACTGTTTCAGTCCCTATACTTGGTAATAGAGTACACGTCTCCCTTCAACAATGTTGGGGTTAGGGACACCAGACCCCTGATTTGTTCAAAATCCATGTATAACTTTTATGCCATCCCCTGCCCCCCAACATAACTGCAAAGCATAAACAGTTGATTCACATACAGGCAGACCTCCCCTGACCTGCATCAGCCTTCAGCATGGCCCATCACCATCTCCAGCAACTGCATGAAGCCAGGAAAGGGGGCAAGGTAGGCTGCTACCATTGAACTGGGGGCTGCCACACCAACAACAGAGGCCTTAGTAAGCCTGGGACTCACCCTTCTCTGGCCACTTCCTAGTGACAAATAGTAGCACGGCATTTATTATTGATTGAAAAAAATGTGTATAACCAACTATGCTGCTCAGATCTGTGCAATTCAAGGCAGGAGTATATAGGTTTTGATTACCATATATACAGGTTCATTTACACTGGCATAACATCAGTGTAACTTATGTACCGTATTTTTCGCACCATAAGACGCACTTTTCCCCCACAAAACAGGGCGGTGGAAAGTCTGTGCGTCTTATGGAGCGAAGAAAACAGATAATATTTTCCTGTTTTCTTCTCCTAAAAAGTTGGTGCGTCTTATGGAAAGGTGCGTCTTATGGAGCGAAAAATACGGTATGTTATATGTTATACACCCCAGCATGAGAGCTAATGAGAAAAATTGTCAGTTCAAGAGAGAGAGAAGTAAGAAAGCTACCACCACAAAACTGTCATATCAGCATCTACAACAACCCTGCTCACCCTCATTATCAACAGGTATCTGGTACAGGAGTCAATCCACTTGTGTCCCATATTGCCCATGAAAGAGACATTCACACAACTTGGGCAACTTTCACTGAATGTAGCACAGGCAAGCAGAAGTCAGAAAATGAAAGCAAAAGGTACTAACTGGGAGTGGGGAAACACAGAATGTAATAGTAACTAGTTACAAGCAATATAGATACCTGTAACTACTTAGTTTTCAGATATGACTAAGTTAATAGTTCAAAAGTAACATACTGAAATTATACAATTAAGGTTTATTTTTTTTGTGCAACCAGTCACTATATATATTTTACTTACTTTCATGACTCACTTTTAAAAAGTGATTGTATAGTATTTTCAGAGGCGTTCTGACAGGAATTATTCATGTTTTACAGCACCCTCTTATCAATCCTAAGTGGCACGGGATGTACTGTTTTCTTTGTATCTTGGCATTTTCAAGATATATTATCACACGTGGCCCTTATCAGGAACTAGGAAGTGTTTTTCTGGTTACTGCTAAGACAACGCAGTACATTGGGAAGGGTAGTCCTCCCTGCAATTAAAAAAAATCATTTTTCATTAAGATTTTTCTTCACTTAGGGCTTATATAATTTACTCTGAAGTGATCTTATCAATATGGTCACAAATCCAGAGGCATTTGAAATGTTTCTGTCTCAAAAACAACCATTGCAAAGTACCAACAAGTAAGATACTGTATTTGCTGGCGTATAAGACTACTTTTTTGCCCTGAAAACCATGCCTCCAAGTGGGGGGGGGTCACCATAGTGGCCTTCCAGTGCTCACCCGGTGCCCATAGTAGCCTCCCAATGCCTGCCCACCTCATTCTACATACCATCCTGTATCGCACGGTATCCAGCGCGGCCGCGCCGAGCATCAGCAGCGAGACAGGGGGGCCAGCCTTTTCAACATGACTGGCCCGTTCTGCTCCTTGGGAAGCGGCGGTGCTCTGGCCCGCCCCTTTTCTACGCAGAGCTCACACATGCGCACTTGCGGACTAGTGCTGGTCACAGGGAGATGCAGGGGCGGGCCGGAAGCGCTGCGGTCTCGCTGCAGCTGTACAATGGTGACAATGAATAGCACCTTTTATTTGGTGTGTAGAAGGTGTGCAGAAGAGGGGGTAGTCTTATACGGCGAGTATATAACAAACTTTATATTTTGAAAGGAAATGTTGGGGGTCATCTTATACGCCCTTCCGCTGGCAAAAATGGTATCTAAGCAGACTGGGGCAAGGTAACTGAAATTGAGGCAAGGGCAGCCCAAGTGATTCAAATCATAGTCAGGATACTTCCTGCCTTACAAAGCACAGGGACCAACATTTCATAGTGTTGCAAGGATTGTGAACACAGAGCATTTACAGCAGAGCTAGATGTGATTGCCACAGATGTGTCATTTCAAGCAGCACTGTGTATGCCATGGCATTAGTTACACATCTCATGTGTTGCAAACAGACTACAACCATTCAGGAAGTATATAGTGCTGTTGTGGTTCCCCATCAAACCTCTGCAAACTCTACCCCAAGAAAAGATATTTCGAAAATGTTAAAATCACTAGAAAATGGATGGCTTTTTCCTGTGCTATAATGCCAGCCTTAGGCAAAGGAAAGTCTGTCTTTACAATCTCTGCTTACTGTAAGCAGACTCAAGAATCATAACAGTGTACAGTATGTTAGCCAGTTTTCTAAAATAAAATCATTCATACAGTGCTAACTTTGCACTGCACAGAAACCAACATGTTTTCTTCTGAAATTATTATTTTTCAGCAAAATTAATGCAGCATGCTTTCATTAAACTCGCAACCATCTTTTTAAAGTTTGTTTTCTCACAAGATCCCTTCCTGTTCCATTTCATATGCATTAAAGTTTGAAGTATCTGGGCCTCCAGATATTCTAGCCTACAATTCTCATCAGCAGCAGTATGGTCAATGCTAAGGGATTCTGGGAGGTGCAGCGAAGATTGCTTTAACTTGTGAAGTCAGAACATTTCCAAAACCTGTTTGCACAAGTATTCAGTGTTCATATTGACTATATTGTGTATTCCTTCCTCAGTCCGAAACCCATTACTCTTGTTCAATGTTGGCAGAATTAAGACCTCCTAGTGGCAGGAAGCCTGGTCCATAACTTTGGTGTGCTCTCGAACTCAACTCTGAGCTTGGATGCGCAGGTTTCGGCAGTGGCCAGGAGTGCATTTGCACAGTTAGCCAGTGTACCAGCTCTGCTTGTTCCTTGAGATATCCAGTCTGGCAACAGTGACACATGCTTTAATTACATCACTTTTGGATAACTGCAATGTGTTCTATGTGGGACTGGCTTTGAAGTGTGTTCAGAAATTTCAACTTACTCAAAATGCTGCAGTCTGACTGCTGACTGACATTGGTTATAGGCAGCACGTAACTGCCTTATTACAAAAAATCCCTTGGTTTCCAGTCTGTTCAAAGTCTTATACATCTTGGGTCCAGGCTATTTGAAGAATCCTATCAGTCCATATGAGCCTTCTGAGCTTTGATCATCTAGGCAGGCCCTTCTCTCAGTTCCATCACCTTCTCAAGATCATTTGGTGAAGACACAAGAGTGGGTCTTCTCAGTGGCTGCTCCCAGGCTTTGGAATTCACTGCCCCAAGAAGCCAAGTTGGCCCCTTCCTTCTTCTCCTTCCCTTGTTAGGCAAGATCTTCTTCTTCAGGCAGGTTTTAAAATAGTAAGTTATCAGGAATGCTGGTTTTTAAACTTACAGGTTTTTAAATGATTGTGAATTGTTTTTCAACTTAAAAAAACTTAACATGTGTTTAATTGTTTTTAAAGCTATGTTTTATTTCCTGTGAGCTACTTGGGTCTCCTATGGGGAGAAAGGCGGCATATAAATAAATAAATACATACATACATTTCCAGAAGGTAGGATCAATAAGCAAGACATCAGAAATAAAAACTGGGTAAGGATGGGGCTGCGAGTGGCAGCAATGAATTAGAAAAGATTATCCAGTGTAAGGATGTGTCACAGGAGACCAAGTCCAAGACCATCCACACTTTTGTATTTTCAGTCACGATATATGGCTGTGAAAGCTGGAAACTAAAGAAACTGACAAGAAAAAGAATAGATTACCTGTAGTTTGAAATGTGATTTTGAAGGGAGAGCTTTGGATTGCCAGAAAGACAAACAAGTGGGTCTTAAGCCTGAACTGTCTCTGGAGGGCAACAATGTTGAAACTGAGGCTGTCTTATATTGGGCACATAAATGAGAAGGCAGGATTCTTTGGTGAAGACAACGCCAGGAAAGGTGGATGGCAGCAGGAACAGAGGAAGACTGGCTCCATAAAGGAAACCACAGGCCTTGATTTTACAAAGCTGAGCAGGACTGTTGAGGACGGACATTTGGGGGATTGCTCATTCATAGGATCATCATAACTTGGAGGTGACTTGAAAGTACAGAACAACAGCAAGGATAGGGCAACCAAAACTTCTCAAAAGCAAGAAAACTTACCTCATGTTAGAAATTGTGAATGCAACATGGAGACAAAAGCAGGATGAAGACATTGGCAAGGAAAGGCAAATTGAAACGTAAGCTCATGTTTTACTAGACAAGATTACAGTCAACTTGCCTTATAGATGTGGCCATATACTGTAGTTTATTGTGTCAGAATCCCTTTGGGCCACTTTCATATCTTGGAGGGACAATGAACTGAACCACCTCACCTGTCTAGGATCCTAATACCTCTGACTTTGTGTGGGGAATCTTAAATCAGATATGCAATACTACATCTGTAGTCTAAAACAGTGCAGTCCAGAAATGGCTGTCACATGTTATTACTTCATATACTTGTCTGAACCAACTCTAATAGTCAGTTTTGACCATGTTCTGGTGTTTGGCCCATGCTAAATATTTTGGGTGAGCATGCAGTGCCCTGGCCCAATGTATGTTGGCAGCTCTGACCTTGCACCATTCACCTCAGCAGGTGACCAGCAGTCTTTAGAGAAACATGTGGCCAGAACTAAGGACACATCAGGATGCCAAATCACTGTTTCCACTGGATCCACTAACACCTCTTGCAGCTGTGTTAGAAAGGAAACATATGACAGACTCTCTCACTAAACTTTGGCTGACCATGGCTCTGGAGTATTTTGCCTCGAGTTCGCAACAGAGGCTTCTGAATGTGCAGTAAAATCCTCTTTCCACCTCCATCTTTTTTGAAGCAGCCATTACCAAGGCTTAAGGAAACAGCAGAGTGCAGAATCTGTGCTTACGTGCAGAAATAGCAGGAGTGCTTCTGAACATGTGAGGAATGCAACCCTAAGCAGGTCTACTCAGTAGTGCATTTCCATTTTGCTCCCTCGTAAGCGTGTCTTGGATCTCGCCCCTGTCTCTTAAGTATCTGGCCTTAGGAGTAAAGGCTTCCAAGCCTGCCATAGCCTCAGAAACACCCCACATCGGCGGGGGTGGGGGAAGAGAGAAGAACTGCCTCGACTGCTCGCCTCACCAACTTTGCTGCCACAGCATAAGGAGGAGGAAAAGCGTCCAACAGAAGCCTGCTTAAAATTCACCTGTTTAGTGGCTATCCTTGTAGCAGCTAAACGAACGCAGGGACGTCTTTCTGAAACAGATATCATGAGAAAAAAAGTAGACAATTCAGCGACATCCTGCTTCAGAGGCTTGAAAGCTTGGCAAGGAAAGGCTTCCCTTTCCCCCCCTCCCGCCGAGACAGACTGAGGGAAAAACTGACTCCTCCAAGCAATCCACTCCCTCGCCCGCCCAATGCCCCTTAGTGGCTCCGCCCTTCCCGTTGCCCCACCTCCCTCCCCTATTACCATTCCCGAAGGTTGCCGAGTGGAGAGGGAGGAGGGGTCGCGCCAAGTCGTGGCTCTCGAAGGCGTTTCCGGAGATTGCCGAGGGTCTTCGGCCACGCTTCCTTCACTCTCTTCCCCCCCCACGTCTCCGGCTGCTTGCGGGCCGCCACCGTCTCTCCTCCTCGGTTCTTTCCGGCGCTGCCCGGCGGGCCCGAGCCAGGGTCGACCTCTCTCAGCGAAGCCTCCTGCTCGTGGGTTCCTTGTGAAGACNNNCCCCCGCCCCGCTCCGCCCTTCCCTTCCCCTGGCTCTGCCTGAACGGGGGCTGTTTGGGCCTCAACGCCGCGGCGGAGCTCTCGCGGCCGGTGGTCGGCTGAGCGGTGACGGTGAGGGAACGAAGGCGGCGGCTGCGGCTCCCCCTAGGGGAAGCGGGGCGGCCGGGGGACCGGCCCGGATGGCGGAAGGCATCCCGCACCAGCAGCTTGTGCCCGGCGTCGGCGTCCCAGCCCCTCGAGGGGTCAAGCGGGAGCCCGAGCTGGAACAGCCCATGCCCGGCGGAGACGGAGCCGAGAGCGGGCAGAACAAGAGGTTGCGGACCGAGGCGGAGGCGGACGGGAGCGGCATGCAGGTAGGGGGGGGAGGCGGCAGCAATGGCAACGGCGGCAGAAGGGACGGTGCCTGCGGGCGTCACCCTCCCCCCCCCGATGGTCTCCTGTGACCGTGAGGGGCGCGCTCGCTCCCGCCCAGGCGCTGTCGGTGGGGGGGGGGAGAGGCCACCATTGGTCGCGCGCCCGCTCTCTCTCTCTCTCTCTCGAGCCGGCGGGCAGGCGGGCGGGCTTGCAAGAGCGCGCGACTGGAGGGCATCCGTGCTCGAGAGCCCGAAGAAAAGCAGCGTCGCCGCGTTGGCAGGACGTGTGTGTTCGCCAGCCTGTCGGAGGAGCGTCCTCAAGGGCCAGGCCTTGTTCTAGTTGGGGCGGCGGGGAGGGGGAGAGGGAGCCCGAGAGAAAACGAAGTGGGTTTCCCGTTGACGGTTTGCCAGGGTATCCCTGAAGGCGTGGGAGGAAGAGGAGGAGATTGTATGGCCATCTTCAAAGGGTAGCACCAGCAGCACCAACAGCAACACATCCCCCACAGGCGAAGCATTCCCCTCGGTAGGAAATGGCGCGTAACCTACGTGGAGGTCGCCGCATGTGACATTTGCGCCCAAACACGTATTTCGTTGCTTGCACACGTGGAGACAAGTTGACGTTGGGGAGAATTGGAGGGATGGTGATCTGTCAGGAAGGAAGATCCTAGAAAGAACCCCAGCTTGGTTTGGGCTGCCATCCCATCACACAGAAATTTGCAATAAATTATCTCTTCATCTGCAAAAATCTTCTCCTTCGGAAAGTTCTTTAGATTTCCATTTGTTTAAAACCGTGGAAAATGGGCAGCTAGTGATTAATGAAACTTTCAGCCTTTCCTGTATGTAAGGTTGCACCACATACATATATTCACCTGGAAGTCACCCTTGTAGACCTCAGAAGGTGTACTGTATTCTTGAAGGCTTTCAGGGCTGGGATCTGATGGTTGTTGTGGGTTTTTCGGGCTCTTTGGCCATGTTCTGAAGGTTGTTCTTCCTGATGTTTTGCCAATCTTTGTGGTTGGCATCTTCAGAGGACAGGAGTAGGAACTCTGTCCATGCTCAACACGGCTAAAGAGCCAGAAAAACCCACAACAACCATCAAGAGGTGTAACTTTTTCATGGAGATGCATAGGACTGAATTTATTTCAAACCTGGGGCAGTCATATAGTGCAACTATAGTTTTTTAGCTCTTTCAGAAAAAGAGACATTGGTGACACACAGGGTTCATCATGTATCTTCCCAGACCAGCTGGTGTGCTGCTGAAGTGAATGGCATCTGACCCTTTATTCTGAACAATTCAGATGTGGGCAAGCTTGCCATAAGGGTGGCTACTGCAAATAGACCAAGCATTTACTGGCCAGAGGAAAGCCCAGCATGAAGCTTCATACACATAGTAGCTTGAGTGCTTTTGTTAATAAAATTCCATAGTATACTGGCATCAGAAACAGTCCAGGATCTTTTAAAATAAATGTGCACTCATAGATTATCCCTGTGATATAGGAAGAAGCAATTACTCTGAATGTTGCAGTAATCTGTTTTAGATTTCATCCTGAAACATGGAATTTTACTGTAGGTTACCTGAAAGTGTAGTAAGCGATCATGTAAAACAGGACATGGTCTATTATAGGAACTGATATCTTTATGAAATAATAGACTGTCTTGCAGCCTTATTCATGAGATGGCTCTGTGTGTCTGAGTAGGGCTTTTTAATTTTCATTGCTTTCCATGGAAGAAGAAAATGAATTGTGTCCTTTTTTTTTTTTTTTGCTATTGCAGTCAGTGAGTGTTGCCAAAAGCATGAATGAAGCTGTGGATCACAGTCACTGGTACCGCTGAACTGTGAAAATGACGCAGAATGAATCAGATTGCAAATTGCAAAGAGGTTAAAAAGAAAGTTCGTTATGTTTTATAGCACTCTTGCTTTCATTCAGCAGGGGATAATTTAAAATTTTACAATCTTTGAATCATGCTACCAGTATTCTTTTCCATTTGTTTTAAGAATGTTGTTAGTTTATTTTTTGGGAAGTGAACAATACGTATGTGAATAGGCAATAGGTGCATAAAAAGATATGGTGTATCAACCTCTGCATGAGAATTTCTGGATCTCTTTTTGTTTGTCATTCCTTCTATTGGTTATTTTATTTGAGCCACCAGTCTTGCTGGTTATATTAAAAGTTAAGTGTTCACAGAAATTATTTAATATGGAATTAACATTTTAAAGGGATGTTCATTTTTCTGTATCAATACTAGAATCTAGAGAATAGGCCATGCTATCGATCTGTTTCTTCTTCTGCTATTTACATATTTCCAGGTGAATAAATGACAAACTATCCATCCCTCTGCTGTTCTATCTGTTTGCATGTGAAAATGCTAGTAGAAGTGTAATGTGCAAGGGAGTATCACATATTTCAAATGGTGGGCTAGTGTTCTATTTCACAAAGAGATTGGGGGAATATTGTCCAGATATTATAGTCACAATGATAACCCACAATTCTAGACAGTCCTATCTTACAATGGACAAGCTGTGTGTCAGGGCTTCTTCCTGCTGGAGCCATCAGTAAATAAGCCAGTAATTGTTGTTTGTCTCAAGTGTAGGGCGACATATGGCTTTTCAGATGTTGGAGTGCAGCATAACCAATCATGATTGGGATTGTAGTCCAGCAACATGTGGAGGGCCAAACATTCCCCATCCCTGGTTTACTATGTTATCTGAACAGGTGATTCTGGCTTGTTGCCGCCAGGAAAACCAGGGAGCCAAGATTAAACACAAATTTATGATACTGACTTGTAAAGTATGCAACAACCCAGGACTTTCTAGTGAAGAGAAACATACACGGCCTATTAGTAGTGGATCTAGGTAAGTGAGTACTTTTTTAATGAGGTACTCGCTTCCTGAGAACAAAAACTTGATGTGATCTTTTAAATAGCAGTATTGCCCAGTGACAACATTTGTCTTACTTGTCCCTGATACAACCTAAAACTGGCTGATGTAGAGACTTAACTCCTGCCTTAACTCAGACTTAACTGTGCTTTGAGATTTAAATATAGGGAGAAGACTACAGTACTAATAGTACTGTACTACAGTACTATAAGTACTTACAGTACTTATAGTTATTTTTGCTGCATTAAAACTATCTGGTGGGCATAAGATATGGTTTTAAAAATAATTGTTCAGTGTACTACCTTGGGCCGTATAATTGGGAGAAAGGTAGAGTAGAAAATAAACAAATTAATTAAAAATATTTTTTTTCTGAACTGCAAAGTTCAGTTATGATCTATGGCTAGTGAAGTAGCCAAAACTGACACTGTAAATAATAGAAATATTATGCTGCTGAGCTTTGCTTGGGTAAGCAAACAGGGGGCCTCAGTCCTTGTTGCTAACACTGACTGTGTTTCAGCTCTTTGAAAACAGTTTTATTTATTCATCTCAGCTTGCTAGTTTCTGATCCATCTCTTGAATGCTTGTCTGTGTGACTCTGATTGGTGGTCCCAAGTTGATAGGATTGTGTATTGCTGAGGCAGCCTCGAGCAATAGTTCTGTGTGCCTGATTCCATTTTGTGTGTTTATCTGTCTCATATGCAGTTAACCAGAGTTATTTTTGTATTTTTGAATTTGTATTTTTATTAGACACTTAATTATTTACTTAGCAGACTATGAGAAAAAAGCTTTCTTTGTAGTGTAAACATTATATGCATGTCTCCGATCTGTAAGATGTTGGCATTTTGGAATATTTGTGCAATATCTACACATTTTAAAAATAGCCCCCAAACCCAGGAAATTATACCAATCCAGTGTGGATGCAGCTGAAACGTTTATGATGACAGGTCTGTATTCTCCAGGGAGCATTGGGAGTCCTCAGTAGCACAGGGGTACTACCCTTTTTAAATAGAAACTGGACTGGATACAGGCCATGGGGCCATTTTGCTAGGCCATTCTCCAGATGAATGAAATGTCTAAGTGTATATGTCTATAGGAGTAAATGTTTTGTGTGCTGGAACTCCCAGAATTCTGTTTGGGGAGCTCTTGGAGAATTTTGGGAGTTAGAGTCCAGAAAATGCAAATTATACATTCCTAGCCCGGCTGTGTCCTTACCTCGACACGGGGGCGCTCACTGCCTTAGTACATGCGCTCGTAATCTCAAGATTAGACCACTGTAACGCACTCTATGTGGGGCTCCCTTTGAAGCTGACGCGGAAACTTCAGGTGGTGCAGAATGCAGCGGCCAGACTCCTTACTGGAGTGAGAAAATACCAACATATTTCTCCTACCCTGGCCATGCTGTACTGGCTGCCCATACGTTTCTGCGTTGACTTCAAAGTGTTAATGCTTGCCTATAAGGCCTTAAACGGTTTAGGACCTCGATACTTGGCGGAACGCCTGCTCCCACCAAGATCTACCCAGATCACCCACACGAGTCAGGAGGTGAGGTTGAGGAGCCTAACGCCAAGGAAGGCCCGGAAGGAAAGGACACGAAATCGGGCCTTCTCAGCGGTGGCTCCTCGCCTCTGGAATAACCTTCCTCAGGCGATTTGTGCGGCCCTTATGCTGGGCACTTTTAAGAGTCAACTAAAAACGGATGTACATTCAGGCCTTCCCTCCTGTCAATACTTAATTCTTTCTTTATTCTTTCTTCATTTATTATTTGTTTTATTACTCTATGTGTTACGGATTTTTTGTAAAATCCTTGTGTTTTTATTGTATATACCTTTATTGGAAGCCGCCCAGAGCGGTCGATCAGACCAGATAGGTGGGATATAAATCAAATAAATAAATAAAATAAATACCTTGAAGTAGAATGTAATAGTTGGGCTTTTGACAGAAGCTAGCATGTGAGGTCATGTAACACCCATATTATAAGGGTTTGAAAAAATTTAGAATGTCTCACCAGTCAGTCAAAAATTTCACCAGTCAGCATGACTGGACTATAGTGTTGTGATTTATGTTAACCAATTTAAACTAGGCACTTGTTCACTTTTTTTTCTATATAACAGTGCATACAAAC